TGTTTGTGTCAAATCTGTACAGTGTACATAGCTAGGTTGTTAAAATGATGATTTTGTAGATATTGAAATGCAATCCTGAACTGCCTTTGTTTCGTTTGGTTACGTTTCCTTTTTGTTAAACAGTCTGATGTGAATGTGGACTAAAGAGACTTCAGTTTTTCTCACATCATTCCTCTCTGCCACTGACTGACTGAATGCCACGTCAACGTTAGAAGTACGTTTTTGCACAGTATTAAATCCAGACATTTTATCCCAGAAGATGTTTTTTTTTTCTTTCTTTTCTGTTTTTTAATTTTACATTTTTATGGTCATTAAAGAATCTTTTTGTACATTTTTTTTCATCAGGAATGTTTTAATGAAATCCTAATGTTCAGACATTAGGCAGAGTCACTTTGATGTCGTCTATCTGCAGAGACTGACTGTACAGAGTGCTTTTTTCAGTTCTGTGCAGACAATAAAAAGGTTCTTGCTCACGGAGTAATCTGTAATTATTTTATATTTGTTCACTCTGATATATGATTGGTGTTTATTAGCTGTCTTCTGAGAGAAAATCTTAATATTTTGGGCCTTAAATGTTAAATGTAGTTAATCTTTTGTTTGTGTCTCCAGTGGATTAGTTAAGCATTGAAACAGACTTACAATATAGCCCACTACAGCCCAGTTATTAGTGGAAACAACCAAGAAAGTAATCATGGTGGACAGAGTGCAGGAGCAGACCAAAAGACAAAATCAGCTCCAAAAATAGATCATTATAACGTACTGGCTTACTCTAAAATCCACTCAGTCAGTGAGACAGACAGCCTTCTAGTTATGAACTCTGTGGGTTTCTGCAACATCCAGAAGAAGCCACAGAGTAGATCAGCCCGTTTTCACACTGTCAGGATCCAAGCCCTGCAATCAACAGATATAATATATGACAACTTATATTGCTTTTAGAGAACAGTAAATTCTCTGTAAGCTGACCACCCTATAGTGGAAGTTTGCCATCTTTGTTTTGGTCTGTTAACCAATCAGAGGCTGTATCTGTGATTGGCTACCTGTAAAGGCCTATCAGAGGGCAAGATTCCCTGTCAGCAAAGTGAAGGTAATAAAACTCTCCATAAAAACTGTGTTTGTATCGTATCCCTGCAGAAAAAAATCACATTATTATCAAGGGGATCAGTGAAAAATTGGACCAATGAGCAAAATCCATAACGGAATCAATTCCTCTCCCTCATTTACGTAAGCCACCGTGAGGAATTTTTGGGTTGTGTTAGTTCTGGTGCTCCTTGCACATAAAATGATACCTCTTATCTCTGGTTCTGCACATGTGAAAGCAGTCCAGACAGTTATCACATTCTGTGAGTATTTACCATACAAAAACATTTAAAAATAGGCTTTTTCTTTAGTATGCTGTCAATCATCAACCCCCTTACCCCTCACAGTGATTTCAGCCATTACAAATTACAACAAAGAAATTATTATTCCTGTTGCAGATGGTCTGGTTTGTTTTTGAACATTGTAATGAGGCATCAGTAACAGTTTCACAGTGTTTTTGATCAGTTAAAAACTCCTTATCGTGCCTTCTAAGAAGAGTGACGTAATCTTAATTCATGTAACGTGCAGTTATTCTGTTTCTCACCCAAATATTCCTATAGGCCTTACGTAATAACAAAAAATTAAATTACAAATCATGACCCTAGATTAATATTTTAAAGAATTCAGGGGGGAAATGAGTAAAGGACCTGGACTAGCTGGTTCTTTTTGAGAAAATTGTATATTAAAGTAAGAATTTGAGATGCTGCAGAGGAATAAAATAAAAATAAAGAACTCAAATATGTCTAGCTAAGAAACTCTAACCTGACCAAATGTATGAAACTTCTCAGATTTAAAGTTAGAGTCCATCCAAATGGAGGAGTTGAATGAGTAATTCAAAAATCAACAAAATGAAGTGAAGCTTGCAAGAAATTCTAACAAGTCCCGACATTTTCACTTGAAACCAGAGAGAAATTACTTGCTCTGATGACAGATTTGGTGTGTTAACAGATAAAGCTGGAGGGGGAGATTCGCCAGAATAAAGTGGAAATCTTGCAGGAAATTTCGAACAGACTCCCAGAGACATTTCACACCTGAGAGCCTTGGAGCAGCAGAAATTAGATGCACTGATGAGACCACAATCTATTCTGAGAGATTTCCCCCCTCAGTCTGAGTGCAGTGTATTACAGTGACACTGGCTCAGCATCTGCTCTCCTCGTCCCTGCAGGGTTCACTCTGACAGCTTTGATTTGGTTGTGTACTTTCTAAAATTGATTACTCTAATGTTATGAAATAAAAAAAACTAACAAACAAATAAGCACAAATGAAGTCAAAGCTCAAGTTGAATCAGTATTGGTTTTGTTAGATGTGCATCTCTGTCTCCTCCCAGATAGAAGTGAGTGGATGTTGTAAATGCTTCCTCTGATTGGTCCATTCAAACACATGACTGCTGCTCAGAGGTTTTCCAAGGACAGGGGTCCAAATTCAGTTCTGACTGCTGTAAAACAAATAAGGTGGGTCAAGTTGGCCCAAATGTTCAGTTAGCGGATGTATTGAGTTGATCTATTGTATTAAAAACTTTATTTTCTATTATTGTCATGTTCAAACAGAATTCAAAAGTTGAAGCAGAGCATTTAGATTAAACAGAGGAAACCCTTTAATTAGTTAGGCAGCTAATAAACATCCCGATCTATTCATTGGCTTGACTGAGTCAGTTGTTAATGCTGTTTTACTTGAGTTGCCAAAAGGATGCAATATTTTAGATCAGTTTGACGCTACTAAATAATTAAAATTATGTTTGAAAGCTAATTTCTAACTTCATTTTATTCATCTAGAGATTGCACTTTTTTTTAATGAAAAAAGGGTCATCTGTTTTTCATATGCCATTAACAAAACTTCAATTGAAACCTTGCGAAATACCAGTAAACTGAGTCTGAAGCCACATGAAATACGTTTTTAATTATATGTAGCGACAATGTGCAGTGAAAGCCATGAGCTTTAGCAGTGGAACTTGCTGACAAGCTGTTCTCAAAGATAATGGTGTCATGGTCCAGCTGTCATATAATCAAGTTAAGATCTTTGGCATCAGTGTTATAACCACGCAAGTGAGTATGTCTCAAAAGAAATAAAACTTGAATTTAGCTGATGGTTGGCTGAGCAAGAAGATGACGTGATTAAAAAATCATATACCAATGATAAAGTAGTGGAAAGATTTTGTGTCTGAATTAGTTTGGAGGCTTTTCTTTAAAGAGTTGGGGCATAAGAACCATCCCTGCAGGAGGATGCTTATCAATGAAATAAAAGTTGAAATCCTGAACTAGTGATTCAGTCATCCCTCCAGAGAATGGACTTCACTGTATTAGCCAGTAAATGTCTCTGCATTAGATTTTGCCTTTCTTCAGTGTTTGATTACAAGAATCTAGCTGGCATAATGGAAGAGGCTATTATGTGTAAATCTCTGCAAATGGCCCTGATCTCTAAAGGCCATTTGGATCAGAACCTTTCCTCACAATATGGAATGGCTTCAGCCAAGCGGAGGAGCTTAATCTGGTACCAGGTGAGTCCATTGCAACCCTGCACAATGGTGTCTACCAAAATTAAAGTTGGGAAGAGCCTTTAATGATGTAAATTCAAGCTCTGTCTCTCTTTCTCCTTCTCCTTTTCTCTTTCTCTCTTTCTCACAGAAGCTGATTCGCAGTTAATGTGGTTTGTGAGCATTCAGCTCTGCTGCTCGGTCAGCTGCAGAGCTGAATTGCTCTGCTGTCTCTCAGAGGGGTGTTTCAGTTTTTATAATGTCACTGTGTAAGGTGTTAAATCCCAGAGGATGTACAGTCAGATCTCCGGCGTTAATAGACAGAAAGAGATGAAGGTGCAGCTCTGTTAGTGAGCAGCTGATTCAACAATGATGAACCACCAAACTTTCAAACTCTGTGATGTTTCTCCACTTTTGTGTTAGTTCTGGTTCCCCCTGTGCACCAAGTAACGCCCCTTATCTAAAATTAAAACTAAATTAAAAGTAGTCATTTCAGACAAAAACCTCATCTTGCTGTCTTTTAACAGTGAAAATATCACTCACTCTGAGTATTTGCCATTGAAACAAAAATCAAAAAAGCCTTTTTTCTTCTTCAGTCTACTGTCATCTGGTGTGATCCTACCCCCTCACAGCAGTTTAAGGCATTATAAATTACAACATTATCAGACTTGTTGCAGATGGTCTGGTTTGCTTTTGAAGGTCAGAGAAATGTTTCAGTATCAGTTTTAGATTTGTTTCTCAACCGGTTGAAAACACTCAATAGCACCTTTAACTTTCAAAGCAAAGTTTAAGAGTATCAAATTGTTTATCCCACATTCTTCTACTTTTATATTTTTTCTTCTTTTTCCAGTAAAAGAAATTAAAACCAGCTAAATAAAAATCAGTGTTTGATAACTTGTTCAACCTCAAATCATTGGGAAATATTGAGATTTTTCTTATATAGAAACAAAAATGTGATTTTAAACAGTGTGACATCTCATTGTGAATGCTTGAGATGTACGTGTCGAAATATATCATTTCCATCGTAGTAACTAGTATCATTCCCTTTGCATCATTCTTGCATAATGATCAGTCAAGTACTGTTAAAATAATAATGATTATAATAATAATAATAATAATAACAAGCTGTTGGACATGGTTGGACTGCCACTTATTGAAACAGTGGACCTCTGAATCTATGAGAATCTGAGAATCTGTTGATATATAATCAGGTCTAAAGCAGAGTATCCTACACAGTCAGTAATTCCCACATTAATATCAGGACAAAAGAACACAAACATCCATTTTCTTACTCTTTCATCACACATGTGTCACATTTGTTATCATTTCACCCTTAAACACAGAGTCTACCTCATGTGTAATATAGTGCCATGAACAACAGGTGTCAGTAAGAGATCATCAAACCCTCCATACGCTCCTCTCCACTCAAGCTGAAGAAAACATTGAGTCACTCAGTAAGGTAGCGGGAGAGGTGACCACCGAAACTTGTAGTCCTCAGCATGGATATTGAAAAAGCTCTGATATCTATTGTTCCTTTTGTGAAGACATCATTATTTAAAGAGAAAAAGTTAATGTTTAAGTTTCTATTTATTCATAAACTAACCAAAGATGTGTTTTTGAGGAGCAGGACCACACCTCCCCGTTTTCTCTTTTTCTGGACATCTCCTTCCCTTCCTGTTTCCTTTCTTGTAATGACACAACTCCTGGCTCTCTAATCTATGGCCAGGTGCCGAAATATACGTTTCAAGCCGACCTTTACTCACTAGCTGTCCTTTTTTCAGACCGTTGTTTGATTTTTTGTTGTTGTGTCCTCACAGGAGAAGTCCTTCCTACAAAGAAGCCTGCTAATGGGACTTTGTTGTACTCTTAATCACCGCCCAACAGCTCCTGCCGTCCGGCGTCTACCTTAATGTGGAGACTCTAAGGAGAGGTGATCAGAGCTTCCCTCAGTCCCCTGAAGTTGAAAATAATGTTATGTCTTGACCCAACGTGATCAGCAGGTCAGAGCAGCCTGGAGGACTTTGTTTTTCTGCCGCTGAGACTTAAGTGCCACTGTGAGAAAGAAACAATAACCATTACTGCATCTGTGACCTGGGAGTGGAAGTAAGAGGTTCGTTTTCTTTCTTCTTAACTACTGTGGTTGAAACCTGAGGACACCAACACCACAAAGCCTCCAGAAAAGGCCTCGCCAACATTATTTTTATTGTTGTTAAATTTGTGGGATTTCGAGGTTTGAGACACATTAAAGTTGTGTGTCCCTAAAAACCCCCTGAAACCTGCACGCTCACATTCAAACCTCAGAGTCATTCTGTAACAAAGTCACCTCCACACTCATTCACATTCTGAGCACGCTCAGGACAAGACTCTGGCGTACTGGTTACCATGGAAACTGAGTGCTCATTGATTCAGTTCATATCTGCCCCCTGTATACAGTGAATGATCTTTTGCAGGAGATTACATTAAAACTTTTCAGATTAGATTTAACAGAGAAACAACATCAGCAGATAACAGACATCTTTGTTTCTGCAGTCAGTGATCTGTTCATTCCATGGCAGAGATAATAATAAGAGAAAATTATGTTTAACCTGTAAAAAAATGACTCAAATTACCCCTCTACGGAGGTATGGTATGAAAAAAAAGGTCATATTAGCAGTATCTAGCGCGCAGATTTCAGACTGAAACGCTCCCTTGCTTACCCCGCTCAAAGCAACAGTGACCTTCAAGGACAATGATGCATACTAAGTGTGATCCCCCCTTAGTTTTCCCAATGAAAAACGCCTTTTGATTGAAATTATTTTGTGCACAATGACCACATTCTTCTTTGTTTTCTAACAGGTGCATTTGCACGAAAACTAACAGAATACAAAAAAGGGAGTGTTACCAGTTTGTCTGTCCTCTGCTACGGTAGAATGAAGATGGCAGATGGATAGATCGCAGTCAGTCAAATATTATTACAAAGTAAATAAATAAATAATTTTGACAGTTTTAAAGTATTAAAAAATAAGTAAAAGAAATCAAATGTAGTTTAGAGCCAGGGTAAAAAAGTAGGTATTTAACTTGCCTTTCAAACATTGATACTCTGTGCCCCCCTCAGGTCTTCAGGTAGGCTGTTCCACAGACGTTCGTTGTAATGATAAAGAGTTGCTGTTCTGTGGGTCTTTGTTCTGACTTTTGGTGCCATTAAATACAACTATCTGAAGACCTGAGGGCTCTCAAAGGTTCATATGATAAAAGCAAATCTGAAACTGAGCTGGAAAAGGATCATTCAGAGTTTTATAAACCAATATAAGAATCTTAAAATCATTTTTAGGAGACTTTTATGTGTGCATAATGATTGCAGCAGCTGAATGAAGATGTTCATTTTAGCCCTTTAATGCCTGAAACTACAAATTATGGCCAGAAAATTCAAATTTTTTGGAGCTGAAATATTTATTTCACTTACTACTGAAAACGGAAAAAAAAATCAAATGTCCTTAAAATTTAACATATATATCTATTTATCTCGTTTGACACATTAGATGTTTTTGGAAACTGATAAACCATAAGAGGACATTTTGATCATTTATCGGACTGTAAGGTGCATTTTTTGTAATTTGTTGATCATATTGATTGATAGAAGTATCATAAAAGAATGTATCATATAAGATACAAAAGGCATTAAAGGGTTAAGGTTAGGGTTATTTATAAAAATGTTATTGCTCTGAACTGTAGAGAGAAGGGCTTACATATTCATATGATCAGTGTGTGATGTTCATTACTACCCGGTCTTGAAATGGCCCCCAGCTCAACCCTTAAACCAGCCTTTTACGGGATGCACTCTCTGCAGTCAGGCTGTCAAATCTCAACAGTGCGGCGAGAACCTGTAGAGACTGAGCTGCATACAGTCAAATCTTAAAACGTAGAATGTAATCTTCACAGTTCAAAAGCAATCTTCTCAACCTTCACCGTGCCTATTGATGTAATTTATTTTCTCAGTTATCATTTCTGCCATCTCCTTCAGGTGTGTGCATCTCTGCATGTACAGAGTATGTATCTATAATGTGTATCTACCACGGTGTGCACCTACTGTGTGTATTTTCAGATTATCTTCGGCATGTATCTGGGGGGCAGCTCCTTGAAGACATCTGGAAATAAAGTGCTGTCTCAGCATTAACAGCTGCAGCACTGTTATGGTCCACATTAATCTCTGTAAGACTGGTTTCATTGATCCCTGCAGGCCTGATCTCTGCAGAGTCTTCCTGTATCTAACTCTTTGTCTCATACTCAGAGAACTCCAGACAAACACAAAAACACCTCCTGATGATCAGCTCTGGTGTTCTAAAGTTCAGATAGTGTCAGAAAGCAGCATGTAAAGTAGTGAAACTGTCCCTCCCTGCAGAATTATTACAAACTATGCCACATCTAACAGGTTTGTGGCTGAAAACAACAGAGCATAGCTTTTAGTATGTGTAGCTGCTCATACATGTTTATCTTTCATCTGAAATTTCATAGGCAGCATCGTTTTCATCTTTACTACAGTGTGTGCAATATGGAGTGTGCAACCTACTCTTCCTTTTATTGGGTGTGAAATTGAATTCCAATCTTCAGCGACTGAGTAAAAACAAACCATTTAAAAAGTGTTGCAGGATGGTTTCTAACGGCATTTCCTGAGGTGGAATTTGGAAGAGTTGTTCTTTTGTACATCTGCAACCTTTGTGCTGGTTTTTCTTACAATCTTGCAAACCACTGGCTTTCATTTGATGATGGTACAGATTATGAGATTAATGACCATCTTTTAGGGCTTCTGGTGTTTCCAGCATTTAGAAGCCAGGGCCTCCTTGTCTCTCTCTTCCCAGCATTTACAGTCTGACTACAGCGTGAGAAGTGAAACTGGAGTTGATTTAAAGCATCTAAAAGTTTTTTTTTCATAGTTTTGGGCAGGTATAGAGTTTAATTAGAACCAAATTAGCACCAGGTACTTGTCAAACAGTTACCTTAAACCCTGGCCACTCTTGTTCATGTCAGGCATGGAAGTAATTCCCCCACTTTTTTAAAAGCCCGTTTTGGTCCCCTTAAGTTTTAACCATCTGAAAACAACGTAACTTTACACTATAGCAAACTGATACACATCAGGCACCAGGACCAAATGGCCACTAAAGCCGAAAACTGGTTTCCCTCTGTTTGGACCGCCCACAAGGTCCTTGATTGGCTATGCCGCAGGGTTGCTTTTTGTGTGTGATTGGCTATCCCTGTCAGTCATTTCATGCCCCCTGGACTAGTGTTTTGTAAGTTGCTTGTAAGTGAGTCAGTCCATGAACATAGCTATCTGCCGATGTAAATTTACAGGTGGGTGGCGTTCATTTTCCCTCCGTAATGTCACATTCATCGGAGGTTTCATTTACATCCTTGCACTGGGTTTGTACTTCCATCCACTCGCTGGCCATATTGCCTCCTCTGTTACTGTGTGTGTGAGATGCACTGTTTGCTAGGCTGTATGTCTCAATAGTACTCAACAGTACTCAAGTCACATGTGTCCCCCTAACTTTGAAATCAAAATTCCGTCTATGATGTCAGGGTACCAGTCCCCTCAATCACAATTTCTAGACACACCCCTGCAACAAGGAAGATTTCACATTGTGAGGGATATGTGTGAATGAGAAACTTTGGAAAATTTGTGAGTGGGAGATTTAAACATTTTTGCTACAACACTGTTAAGTGTTTTGTAAAAGAAGATGTGGTACTTAAGTGACGGGACCCTGTTGAAGAAACTTCAACCGTCATCTAGGTTCTGCTGAGAGATAAATCTCATTCTCTTTAGTGAGCAGGTGATAGGAGCAGCAGGAGGAGAGCAGAAACACCTGGAGGAGGCAGTAACTCCTCCTCACATTTATAGCATAAAATAACTCTCAGTTCTCCTCTCTTAAATGTTAAAGCAAGCCAATAAAGTGAACCTGTTTTGTCCCACAGAGGTGTTTATGGTGCAACAGAGAGTTGCCGTCTCTGTTCTACTCTGCCACAGTCTGTCTGAAAAGTTTGACTCTTACTTACAGATGGTTTGGTCAGACTTCACCTTATTCTCAGGGTGGCTGAAATTAATTACATAAATTCATCAATGAGCAAAAAGTCAAACCAAACCATCACTTTAAACATAAAAATGGGACAAATAGAAAACAGTTGATCCCAATAAATTTATTTAAAGAAAAAGAAAAGGAAAACAAAATAAGCAAAATACTTGGAATTAAATCATATTTAATAAATAAATTGGATCGATTTTAATTTTGACTCTCACGCATACGCATCGTCAGTGCGTCAGTCGTTGCCAGCGATACGGAACCGGGGTTATTTAAACTCAGATCAATGTTCCAGATTCCCCTTTTGCTTCTGACCTTGACAAGAGTAGCTGCAAACTTTGGCTGTGGGAAGCTAACCTTTGGAAAGCTCGAGAGAGAGTCTGAAAACCAACTGTTTTTTTTTTAAAAAACAAACCCCTTTGGAGAGATCGCCGACTGCGGATACCCAGGAAGACTGAAGATGGCCTCCAGGAGACCGGACCAGGACCACCTGCTGCTCGGGGACGAACCGATGAACGACTACCGTGCTGGCAAGATAACTTTGAGCCTCGTTTGATATTGATATTGATATAACATGCGTGGAAACAAGATTAAAACCTAAAAGCTTCGTGGTTACAGTAATGAATTGCTCTAATTTAAGATATAATTTACACCGAATGATCTGGGTGTTTGAAAAGAAAGTTTAAAATCAGATAAACTCGACGTTTACACGATGAATTTTCATAGCAAAAATGATTTTTATGATGGCAGTTAAATCTCAAATATCCAGGGACAAGGTGGGAATGTGTTAACAGTCAGTGTAGTGATTTGAAGACTGACTTTTCACCGAAATGTCGATGTATTCAAATGTTTCTAAAATGTTTAGTTTCTTTTTTTGTTGACCTGCTGATTCAAAACCTTACAATTCTGAAATGACATCACCACGACATCAGGACTCAAGTGTGTAAATTCCAGCAGTGTGCACGTGACTGTAGTTTGACTCTCTGTTAGAGCTTCATTATGGATCCGGAGTTGATACCGAAATATCGAGTCCTTTTAGTGTTTATTGTATGAGTTTGAATGAACTCATTTTCTGATATGCCTGAAAATAAACATAAAGAGTCCTGATGTTGTTTTAGGACTGGATTGGAAAATGTCTGACCGGTTTTAAACTCTAACCGAACTGTTGCGTTTAATCCTCATATGTTATTAACATGTCAATTATTTCATTGTTTGCATTTGGCATGATTTAGTACATGAATCTAAAATCCACGATGCAACCCTCTCCAACACCTGCCACGATGCATAGACAGTAAACTAAGAACCACAGTGGGTTAAAAGTATTTGATGTAAACAGAGGTACCTGTGGTTATCCTGGAGAGTCCATGAGATTGTCGAAACTGGGTGTAAATGAGTACTGTTGTACTAAATATCTATAAGTTAGGCTGTGCTTATTATGGTGCATATAGAGCAGCATATTAAATGAATTACAAAGCTGATTGTAAACTAAAAATGGGTTTATCTAACAGAAAAACTAAAGTTCTTGAAATAGTTTGATGGAAAATATATTTATTTACATTTGTGTGTGGTTGATTTCTTTATTAAAGCGTTTTGCTCTAATTCTGAGCATCAATTATTTTTGTATATATATATATATATATTTATTCATATATGATTCACTGATGTTTGTTTCTTCTGAGAATATTTCAGGTCAGTGAACAGTAAAAATAGATAAAGTTACTTCAGCTTTCTTTTCACTCATTCTCTCACTGAATCGATTTTGTTTTGTCCTTATACGTTTTGTTTCCACCGTTTGATCATAGTTTTGATAAAGTTAAGCTTTTAATTTGTAGCTCAGACTCTTCAGCTTCATATGTTAATCCATCTAAAATTCATAAATCAAAGTTTTGAACATTGTGAAAATATAACATTGACACATTACATCAGAGCTAATAAACACAGGAGGGTTAATATTTCTTTAATAATACAGCAACTCCATGATGTTTGATATAAGAGTTAAAAGTCGTTTCCTGTGTTCATGAATCAGTTGATGTAGAACAGTTGTAAGAAATTTATGTGAATTTAGGATTACAAGATTTAATTGAGTGTTTTTACTTCTGTAAGACAAATATTGTAAGTTACTGGAGAAGACACACCTTAAAATCTTATTCTTAAACGCTCTGACTCTTCCTCATCAGATGGCGTGGAGCAGCCAGTGGAGGACATCCTCCCTGATGTCATCGTGGTTGTGGACGACATCCCAGGTGACATTGTTCCAATCTACATCTCTTCCTCTGAAGATGATGATGATGATGATGATGTTGTTGTCTTGGCAGGTGGCGATGAAGGCATGGAGGCTGAGGTGGCCATCGAGCAACAGGTGGACATCGCAGGTGACGGGGGTGACGACATTGACGGCGACAATGACGATGACAGTTACACTGACAACAGCGACGACTGGTTTTTCTCTGACGGTGAGGATTCTGGTTACGGCTCCATGTCTGAGGAGGAGGAGGACGCGGTCGTCAGACCTGACTCCCCCCTTGAACAGGAGTTCCCACCAGATGACTTCTGGCAGAGGTGGAACCAGTTGTCTCCTCCAGTCCCTGCTGGTTCACCTGTTGCTCCGCCTTTCAGTCCTCTAACACTGCCTCCGAGTCCTCTTGCTGGTCCTCCGGGCACATCTCCTGAAGCTCAGGGTTCAGAAGAGTGTGCCCCCTCAACATCAGGGCTGGTCTCCTCCTTGAAGAGGATCATGGAGGAGGGCAGCCCTGAGCAGGTAAGTGCAAAGAGGCAGAGGACGAGTGACGAAGACAGCCCTGATGAACCAACGCCCTCAACATCAGGGCTCAGCTCCAGCACAAACAGAAGTCTCTGCTACAGGACGTTCCTGCTCTCAAGGTGGACTGAGGACAGTAACTCGGACTGAGGCAGAGGCTCTGTTTGTTGTTGGAAAAGGAAGTATACACACACACGCTCAAACACGTACACAAGCACGTGTCACAATAAATATAATTTTTGATGATTTTTGAAAAATAAGATGGTAGACGTCTGCAGAAAAGGTGAGTAAGAATCAATGCCAGTGCTAAATGTATTCTTCAAATGTTGATTCATTCAGTAATTCAGGGATGATGATTATTCCTTCTAACACTGTTCTTGTTTCTTTTTCTTACAGAGATGCAGCAGCAGACAAAAGTGAGCTCATAACTAAACCAAACATTCAAAAGTCAGCTGTAAGTTTCTACCCAACTCACTGAGGATTCAGAGATTATTTCCTTTACTCTGTTGAACTCTCGTGATTTTGGACGAGGAGGGTCCAAACCAGATCAGCACAGAGGACACACACCATGACTGTTGATGATCTTTTTCTCCACAAAAAGTGAGGATGAAAAGGACGAAGACCAGACATGAGGAGAAGAACATTCTGGACCACAAAAGGAGGATGGATGACGGAGGACCAGCTGTAGATCAGAGGAAGCGTCTTTGTTGGTCATCTTGGTAAGTCATCCCCTCTCTGAGATAGCAGCTGTAATCTACTGTAAAATTCATTTTGAATATGTGGATTACCAAAGGAGGCAGTCTTTTATATTATTATTCCAGTTTTCAAAATGATTTGAACTATTTATTTTCCATCAACACAAAGTTCTCAAAGATGTGTTCAAACTTTTTCTGGTGTTTTTCTATCCTGTAGGGTTGGATTCCTCTGTGTATTTTTCATGTTGCTGGAGGTCAGAGTGCAAGTGAACCAACAGATCATCCCAGGACCAAGACCCACTGACACCCACTGGGCCTGAATCACTTAGAATGGATTGAGGCTACTAATAAGACAAAGAATTGAGCATCAGGGTCTGACTCAAAAAGCAAACAGTACTAATGATGTTTAAGAGCAAAAACATCCCAGCTCTGAGGATGAGGAACACCCCAACCTGACCAGCATGGAGGACGCTGTGCGCTTCTTCTGCTTCTTCTTGAAGAGAAATTTCTCATGCACAAACACACACAACATGGTTGTCAGAGAATTTTAAAGGAGGAATATTTTCAATAAAAATTGTAAAATAAATATTCAAAAAATGTGTTTCTTTCCACAAGGTGTACATAACTGTTTATGACCATAGTAAAAAAAAAAGTCTCAATATTAATAAAAATTATATATTTCCCAAGTCTGACCATTGTGACCAACAACATATTAAGTGAAAAACTAGTTTAAATTGAAAAGTTATTGAGTTTAATTTTCTTAACACAAAAATATTCAGTCACGAGTCTCATATTGAAGTGTTTGAGATGTTAAATAATGAGTTACAAATGTGAAAATCCATGTTGTTGTATTTGGAAATAGTTACCATTTTTCTGTAGCAGTTATTTGGAGTTAGACGGAGTTATTTGGAGTTTTATTTGAGGCCTATCCTAACAGGGTCAGGTATTATAATGTGTTATAACTGTTAACAACTCACTGACAATGCCCACATAGATAATGCAATGCAACTGTTGTTAAAAGTTATAACACATTATAATACTTGACCTTGTAAGTCATGATAAAATGCTTTATAATGTGTTGTGATTATTGCTATAAAGCATTATGATCATTTATGAGTGTTTATAATTGTAGTTATACAGTGCTATAACCTGATCATAATGCATTATACTTATATATATAATGTGTTATAGAGATAGGCGTCAAGTAAAGTGTTACCAAACTCATTCTATATATCAATAAAAAAGTTATGATTTCTATGACTCTCAATATGGAAAATGTCTTATCAATACTCACAACATATCTCTAGGTGCTTTTAGTAAAGTGACAGCACTGTAACACAATTACTTATAAACTGTACTTGTGGCTGTATAAGTAGCTACAGTGTTAGACAAAAATATGTCATGCTCATGCTCAAGAAATGCTTTTAACTTATACTCACTGCTAATAACACTAAAAAATATTGCAATAAGCTGTTCTGATGGTTATTGTCACTCATGTGGGTTGTTGTTAAGCTTTATAAATATGCTTATCTGATATAAAACGGCCTTTTGTGTCTGTGCAGCTTAAAGACAGATTATTTCCTTAAACTCAGCAGACCTGTCTGAGATGACCTGTGTGGTCTGGACAGTTTGTAATGGAAAAGATCACCAGTGTATTTTGGCCCTGACCCACTCACTGTTTTGTATTTGGATCTATTCTTTGTCAAACAGGTAGCAAATGTTAAGGCCTTAGAGGTGGACTGCTGGGATCCACTATCTCATCCTTCGAAATGTTTCTAGCAGCAGTGGTCTAAATCGGTTGTAATTGTCTGATTGATTTTGTGGGGAAATCTGCAAAGACACTATTACAGTAATCAAGGGGACTGGAGATAAATGCTTGGACCAGTTTGTTTAGGTCCTGCTGAGACAGAGGCCCTTTAGCCACTAATATATTTTTAAGGTGATATAGTGGGCTGACTTTGTAATTGTCTTAATGTGGTTTTTAAAATTTAAGTCTGAGCCTATAACTACAGCCAGATTTCTGGCTTAGTCGGCAGTCTCAACTGTAATGATTTAGGCTGCTCACTGACTTTTAGTCTCTTCTCTCTGGCTCAAAAAACTGCCACCTCTTTGTTCTGCTGCAGAGAATGAAGGCACATTCACTCATTCATTTCTTTAATGCACTCAGAGCTAGTGCTGGGCTGTGGTTACCTGGTGACTTTCTTACGTAGATCTCTGTGTTATTTATTTATATTTTTATAATCCAAGCTAGAAGAGGCATATTGATGTTAAACAGAAGAGGCCCCAGGATGGAGCCTTGGGGGACTCCACATTTAATTATTTTGTCTGCTTAGATGTGGAATTACAGAGCACAAAGTAATCTCTGTGCATCAAGTTTGATTTTAACCAGCAGAGTACTGTGCCAGAAAGGTTAAGACCCTCCTCTAGTCTTAAAAGCGGTCATTCAGTGTCAGAAAGTTATTGAATATTTGAAAAACTAGCTTTTTTAAAGTAATTTACTCATTTTACTCATCCAGATTATCATGGTTACCATCATGGTGTTTCAACTGGTTCTAATTGAGCATAATGTCCTGAACCTGATATTGAGGGGTTAAATACTTATTCTGTAAAAGATTAGGCAAACTCAGAAAAGGTTGCAGTGAGATTAAGTTGGGGTGCCACCAACATAGAGGGGTTTGCGGCCTGTCGACAGAGGTAAATAAGGCTCATGTTCTGTTATTGCGTTTGGTGATTATGTCAGAGAAAAAGAATGGCATTGGATTTTTGTGTTTTAAATTACAGCTGCAAAGTCCCTCTTTAGAGATGCCATAATGAATATGGAGATTATTTTATGCTTCCTGCATTGAGCTGCGGCTAAACATATTCTATATCTCGTTCCTGTGTTGATTGTCTGTTGCTCCAAACACCAAGGCAGTTTCCTGCTATGTTTGAGGCCCCAACTACACGAATGCGGATATATTTCAAACCACACATATTTATGTCCGATTAGGCCTCCCTACCACACCAAAGCGGGAGTTTGGAGCACTCAAACTGGATAAATCTGAATCCGAAAAAACAAGTGGAGAGATAAAAAAAATATCCGTATAAGTGGATTCGTGTGGTTGAACATTTACGGATCGATGACGCCAAACCGCAGCTCGCGCATGCGAATTAAAAAGAAAAACAACAACAACGATGGTGGACATACTGGGTATTTTTTACGTTTGTTTTTTATACAATTACATCCACCAGTCAGCCAGCTCACAGAGGCATCTGCTTTGTTATAGCCACCACACCGTCACATGGACCCGACGCACTACCGTAGCTTCCACAAACAATGCATGTACTGTTTTTTTTTTTGCTTCTACTGTAAAGTGCTTTGTGACCTTGGTCTGTGAAAGGCGCTGTATAAATAAAGTTTACTTACTTACTTACTTACTTACATGATGCGTCACGCTGTTACGATTCATCGGCCAATCAGGTAGCTTTGTTCCTGAATTATTTTTAAGCGGCACCAGATAGGGTTGAATTTGAAGGCTACGTGTGGACAGATACATTTATTTAGATGGGAGTACAAAAATATCCTGATAAATAAATATATATATCTATATCTTTATCTATATCTATATAGGCCTAAGACCTACTTGGCATTGAATGTAGTTTGATTCTGATTCTGAGAACAGCATCTCTGATCTTGGAGCAGAAACTCCTCAGGTTAATGCTCACCTGCAGCTACACACGAACCACCTGATAGAGCAGGTCAAAGGTTATCTGCATTTTTATCAGCACAACATGGCACCATGTCAGGTGTTAACGAGACTCAGTGGACAGAAACCCTGGAGTAGCCATGTTTCACACACACACAGAAACACACCCACTCACACAGAGGTCAAGATGAAGGTTAAGAGATGCAGGTGCGCTATCTGTATTGTTAGTACAGTGTGCAGTTTGATGATATAATTAGAGTGATTTATGACAGAGTGAATAATGCAGAATTATCATCAGGACACAGTCAGATTTATTCATGTATATTCATTTATATTCATGAAGCTGCAGCTCTTCCTCACCTTCATTAAGAGCAGAGATCACCTTGAAGGTGTTTATGCTGCTGAGATCCTATGATGCATCAACTCTTCCTGTGAGTGAGCGGAGACAGACTCCTCTCAGTGATTACACATCCTGAGTCTGATTTTATCAAACTTAGAAGAACTCATCTTGAGAAGATAGATGTATGGGAATAAAAAGATAATTAGGAAGAGGATCGCATCGATTTAAGAGTGTAGGAACTGACAACTGTTCAGCCCAGCTCATTTAAACCCAAAGCTGTCGACTTTTAGGGCCTGTGTCCACTCACAGTTTTTCTTGCATCTATTCTCTGTGAAAGTCTGTAGCATCCAGTCTAAAGAAGTTAGCCAGGATTGATGGTGATTCTTCTTTCCTTAGCTTTCAAAGAAGACAAATATCAACCATCCTCCATCCCCTCACCTGTCTTTCCCTCTTTGTTAGGGACTGAATGGGGTGGAGTCGCGTCTCCACCGTAAGACAGCGTCTTAAAGGGACATGAGACCATGGCCTACCTACACACATCCAAAACCAGCTTTTATTTATTCATTTATTTATTTATTTGACACAGAATATATTGACATGGGCAGAATGATGTCGGTTATTGTTGTAAATTTCTGTATCGGCAAATTTACGGTTTATCACCCAGCCCTACCTGTGTCCACGGTCAAATCTACCTTATAGGAATTATACACGTCCAGTCAGGATAAACTCCTGGAAGCTTTCAATGTATTCAAATTAAGATGCATAAAAACATTAACTTTACTTTGGAGTCAGTTACAGATTCTACAAATCTATGTCTTCAATTGATTTTGATGAAATGTTTGAGAATAAAAACAAGAATATTTTAAACAGAACATTTTCATAGACTTAACAGTAACTACTACTACTGACAACAACATTCTGACACCGCCACCACTACTAAAAGAAGCGGGGGTGCCACAGGACAATATTTGTAACTTAGCAACTGTAAGCGCCAGTGAGAGGCATTGTAAGGTTTAGGTTGTGAGTTTAGGTTGTGGGTGCTGCCAGCAGAGTAGCACTGTCCGTGGGACTGGACTAAAACCCTCTCTTTGTAAGGTGAAGGGCTTGCTCAGTATTACGTTTATTTAAAGAATATAATTGTCACCTTAAAAATATATGAAAAAAAGTTGATAAAATAGTTTTAAAAGATTTTTAAAAATAATATAAAATTAAACAAAACATAATGAAAAGCATTATAGCATGCTAAACCAAACACTCAAAATAGAAAAACCGATCTGTCAGGAAGCAGAACTGAACTGAAGGTCTCAAAACAGGTCCAGGAAAAACCCTCCACAGGTCCACAAAAAGACCAGATGGTGAAACAAACACAAACTTGAAGAATCTATACATGGAGGAGTTAAACTCTACAGCCACCAGGAATAGAACAGTGTGGGGGAGGAGTGCACTGGTTGTGTGCTTTGTTTAGGATGCATATTCCAGTGTCGACAACACTATTAAAGTCACACAGCTCCGGTTTGAAGTATTTCAGCAGCAGATTATTGTTTGGTTTCGAGGGTTAGCTCTCATGTTCCCTCACAGATTTTATTTCATGTGTTGAGACTTGAGGAGTTATGAAATAATATCTTAAACCCACAGCTAATGCCTGCAGATGGATGGTGGGAGGTGGTGGTTTTAAAAGAATAGTTTAGGTGCTGATGTCAGGCACTACAGCGGGATACTGAAAATACAGCCGCTTAAATAGACCGGCACACAGGTGGGTGAGTTTGACAGGTGATTATGGAGAGTTAGAGATTATAAGTGCAAGTAGCTTATGATGATAAGATGGAGTAGCTCCATAATGGGGCCTTAAGATGATATCTTCTAAGTATTTGTTATGACTTCGCTTAGTATCAGAACCTCATCTGTATTTTGATCAAAATTAAAGGAGAAAAGCTAAACGTTGATGCTTTTTTAAAAGCGCACACTTCCCAGCAGATATGAGTTCATTTACCTTTTCTTTAGTTATCACCTGGATTATAATATCACCTATTTACAACATCATTGCAGCTCATTGGTGATAACTTTTGATGAACTTTGTCAGCGGCTATTTTCAGATTAAATCCATAAATTGCTGTTTTTCTATACTTGAGTGATTGGCAGGTATGGTTTAGGCTAATGATGTGGTATGAGGATGGTATCCGAGGAGCTTAACTCACACACCAACTTGCAAGAGTAATTGAAACTGACTGTCTCACAAGTTCACAAAATAAAACAGACATGCACACATGATGTTTTTGCACATGCTTTCATGTAATACTTCTCTTTCTCTTACTTATTAAATGCAGAAACTAACTCAGCATAGGACTGTTTTTCCTGTGTTTGGTTCACTTCTGCAAGTGAAGCATTGACCTGCTGACTCATTGAGTGGGCACAGTCACAGTCTTATCCCTGAGTGTAATTGGCTACAGTGATTTGGTCTTCCTCTTTTAAATTGGGCCTTCATGCGATAAAATCTTTAGTATTGCCAGATCAGCACTAAAATTTCTCATGAGAACCAGATTTTGCATTCTATCTGTCATGAAGCAGAAATCAGACAAGAAATATGCATATAATATGTGCATATGATATAATATGATATGTGTGAATGGTTGTTTGATTAATGTGCATGGTTCATCTATATTCTTGGAGAATCTCGCCGGCTCTCACACACACGCCCCATTTGTCCCTGTGAGTCTCATTTGTATCTCTCACATTAGAAAGCACTAGGTGTGCAGGTTTAGCTTGGCAGTTTGAGCCCTTGTGTGCGGAGGCATAATTCCTGGAGTTTGACTCCCAGAGCCTGCTGCATGTCACCCAACTCTCTCTAATCTATATTTCACATCTCTCTCCACTGTTATACTATAACAGACAATGGCCAAACGTTATCTTAGAATAAGACACTAAAATTTGCTTTTAAAACACTACTCCTTGCTACTAATGAAAATGCTTCTCTCAATATTTTTTGGTTCACATTTCAGCACCATGGACAGAGAAGCGTCCAGACTTGCAGCAGAAGTCATGCTGTTGGCGGTACATCACCTCTTTTGTTAGCTCAAACCTTTACACCTATAGACGAAGACTTATAAACAAGAATATCTGAGTACAACGTGCTTTTTGTTAGAAAGAGGCCCATTCCCCTTTCTCACCGTTTCTGGACAGTCCCACCCTTCACTCAGCTGCTCTCCCTGACCCCCCCACCCCAACTCCATTCCCCGTCTTCATCAGCAGCAGCTCTGCACACTCAGCAGCTCCACAGAGAGCCCGGCCAATTTCACTGTAAATGAATTAAACTGGCTCCCTTCCAGATCCAGAGAAGTGTGTGTGTGTGTGTGTGTGTGTGTGTGTGTGTGTGTGTGTGTGTGTGTGTGTGTGTGTGTGTTTCTATACCTTTGTGAGGGAGCCGTGATGAGAAAAAAGCAGCTTATATTGACCATTAGCGGAAGCTGGGTCGTATCCTCGCCAAGAGCTAAGCTGTCAGTTGGTGTTTCCCAAACAGGACCAATTAGTTAGGTGGAGGGGGGGGTCGAATGACTATTCAGAGACTGTTTACTCACATGCCTGCTGTCAGATCGTCTGCTTCTGTCACAACCAGTCGAAACACAACAATGACACTCACTCCCTAATGTTATTGAACATTGACAGCATGGATAGAGATCACAGCTAACCTTGGATCAGAATCAAGTTAATGACCACGCAGGTCCCTTCATGTGAGGAATTCACCTCATATTTGGGTTTATAACATTAAACAGAGACATAAAATAGTAATTACAAAGATAAAGGAGCAGCAGCAGAACCTCTGTTAATATATATGCATATAAAAAAAACACTATGTATTAGTTTGCAAGATATTGCCCAGAGTGTGTGAAGTGTTCATCATATAGACTTTATTATAGAACTGTGAAAAGCGTGATATGTGGAGAGTGCAATATGTTTCACAATGCAATTTCAGGACTGTTATCTGTGCTATATAAGGGGATCATAAGGACAATACATTACACTGTTGACATTTGCCATTGTGTATGTTGGTGTGTGTTTGTGCGAATGCTACATGTGTATATGCGATAGTGATTTCTGCAAAATTGTTCCGCGTTTTTGCTGTATGTTTAGTTTTTAAGTGCAATAGACTGAGTCCAGATAATATTCTCCACAGAGACAATAAAAGTACATCAGTTATTTTCTTAGATGACAAGGTTACATTGTCCTAAGGCACATTCAGTCATCGCCATCTTGCTTTTTATTGGTGCTTTTGATTTATTTACACAGCCCCCAACACACAATAACTCTGATATTCATAGCTCCAGACAAAATTTACATTTGTTGTCCTTCATTTATTGCATTTGGCAAACTGAACTTTTAACACACAGAAGAAAGTAAAGGTAGAGAAGTAAAAATAATTTGGCTCTAATGTTGTATAAATTAAAGGTACAAATTTGTAAAGCAGTCCATGTTTTTACTGTTTAAAACACAACCATTTTACCTCAGCTGACTTCTCTATTAAATGTTTTTGTATGTGGAGTAACAGGTTGTGAGAGTGTGTGTTACATTGTGAAATGAAGGTGGACATATACTGATTCTGGCGTAGCGCTTGTATATTGGGACCTCATGAGTTATAACTGTAGCTTGACTTTACTGGGCATGTAAATAAACTGTTTGGCTATAATTAATAATGATAACATAGTCATTTTACCGGTCACCATGGTAACCACCTGTCAATTCAAGGTAACCCCTGGTTAAATCGTCTCCTCCAGTCAGTTGACTGTAAATCTAACCTCAACTTGTAGAATGAATGTTGTTGTACTGAAGATGATTTAAAACTATAGACTAACACCTTAAACTCATCGAATGCGGAAATCAAATAACAGAACTTCTGCAAAACTAGGCTGTGTCCGAAATGGATCCCTAACCCCTATATAGGCGACTATATGGGGGTTAGCCCCATTTTAAGGGGTGTCCGAAACCTGAGTGATCAACTCCAATGCCCTATATAGGCGACTCAAAATTTCCCATAGAGCATTGCAAAATGTAGTGACCATCCGATGGTCACTCACCAGTGGTGGGCATCCCGTCAAGCATTGTGTCTCCTGCAGCAATTCAAAGAAGGAGATGACAAGAGCAAGAAGCGACAGAACCCGATCTCTAATCGCAGTTTTCAGCGTAAGGTTTTTATCTTCAAGCAGCAAACATATTCGGCACGACAATATAAGGCCTTTTAAGTAAATTATTAATTTATTGTTTTTTTTATTTAATTTTTTTTATTTCACGAACATCCTGGGAAAACAAATACATTTATACAACAAGACAAAATTCAAGAGATGTGAAAACAACAGCTGCAACTTCAGATGCGGCAGTCTGAGCAGTGACGTCATAACGGTGCGCCATGTAGTGTCCCTTACCTCTAGTGATTGAGCTCACTACATAGTCAACTATATAGTGAAACCCCATCTGGGGGTTAGGGGTTATGGATTGAGTGATTCATTTCGGACACAGCCATAGACTGACCATAGACTGTATATAGAATGGACGCTGTCTGCCTCCTTGCTGGGTGAAGCCACTCTGAGAACAGCACCCTCTGTTGATGGGCTGCAGTATAGGTCATAAATCCCGCCTCCGCCAGCAAAGCTTATGGGGCTGTGGACAAACTTTAGAAATGTATTACACAGAACATAAATTTTTCCTCCCCCCTGCTTGTGATGTTGAAATGTAGTTACAGTAAGACTGGTTTGTGCTCACATCCTCTTTTTTTCTGTGAAGCTCCATTTTTAAAAGTTATTAGGGGGTTCATGTTTTCTTTGATTGACACCTGATACAGCCTATTGGCATTGAGGGATTGCATAGCTCACCCCGGGTATACACTGTTTGAGCGTTGGTTTCAGAAAATGAAGAAAAATCACAGAAATACAGAGAGCTTTTTGGCTTCAAATCCTTATACAAGCGGGAGGCGGAACAAAGTTGTCCATAGTGTATACAGTCTAGCAGACTGATCTGTGGAGTCGCCCCCTTCTGGACAGTATGAATATTAAAGGTTAGAGATTCTCCTGAATTCAACTCACTTTAAAAACAAAAGGTTTTCCATTTCTTCAGTTCAGGCTGGGGTTAAAATGCAGAGAGAATGAGAGCATGTGCATTAAACTAACATTAAAGGAATATTATTTATTAAAATAAGTGTATTCGTGTGTTTTGTCCATTAACGTGCATAAAAACTGCATGAGCTTGAGATGCTTCATTATTTTAATGTCATACATTTATTTGTTCCTCTACCACTGCAAACATATATGTTTAGAGGAGCTTCTAGATTTTAATGAATCAGTCCTGCTAAAGTGATGAAATGGCTCAGAGAAATGAGAGTGGGTTAAACAAACATGATAAATAAGGTGCATAAACACCTCTTCTAGAGCCATCTGGTTGTGGCTGTTGCTGTTGTTCCCTGTTTATTTGTGTTAAATCTTGTTTAGGGATTTTCATTACATTCCTGTTTTTATTGTAGGACAATAAAGTTTTATTTCCAGAGCATCTTTTCCCCAGGAGAAACAGCTCCTATGATTTACAATAAAGTGGGAACATGTGAAAATAAAACAGGCAAATTGAAACAAGAGCCTCATGAAATTAAATCCAAGCAGTCATTAAAAAAAAGGAATATAAAAAACAAAAGATGGCCTAGGTAAAGGTGCTAATAATAGTGTTTGTGTGGGGGATAAAAATAAAACAAAAGCAGAGTTAAATATAGTTGAAGGAAATCTCGGCTCTTTGTTACATAAGGTTTCATTCTGAAAATAAAGAATTAAAAATAGAAAACAAACGTTTGTATTATTTTTGGGGTGCCTGAGCAGAATCATCCAAGGAGAGCACATCACATAGACAAATCAGGATGCAGAAGAGCCTCTTAGAGTTTCCTCCGGTCCCACAGACAACAGAGAAGGAGGAGGAGGAGGAGGAGGAGGAGGATGATGATGATGTGTGTGTAAGAGTGAGAGAGAGGGAATGTGTGTGAGAGTGTGTGTGTGAAAGGAAAAAGGAGAGGAGCGATGTGGAGCAGGAGGTGTGTAGAAGCAGAGCAGAAGGAAGACTAGAAGGAGGAGGAGGAGCTCCAGCATCAGGCTCCCGACGGTCTGTGGGTCTGCGGGTCGCGGGCCGCTCCGGGGGGACCAGCAGCGGAGCGGCTCCGGACTCCGGACGCAGTGACGGGGCAGAGGAAACCCACGGACAAGGGGGTGAACTCAGAGAAATCCGGCTGTCACAGAGGAGAGACATGCGGGAAGTCCCTTACACACACAGCGGGGTGTGAGGAGGGCACGCAGGGGGGATGGACCCGCCGGAGGATGAAGCTCTGCTGGAGAACCAGACCGGACATGGAGAGGAGCCGAGCCCGGGAGCAGCGCGCCCCGCCTGGGCAGTGACGGCGCTGGCCAGCGTGCTGATCTTCACCACGGTGGTGGACGTGCTGGGAAACCTGCTGGTCATCGTGTCCGTGCTCAAGAACAAGAAACTACGAAACGCTGGTAGGACGCTCAGCGTGTGTGTGTGTGTGTGTGTGTGTGTGTGTGTGTGTGTGTGTGTGTGTGTGTGTGTGTGTGTGTGTGTGTGTGTGTGTGTGTTCAAACATAAAGGTGATCATACATGTTGAGTGCGCCGTAATGACACTCCGAGCTGATCTGCTATTGATCTGATCGATGCTCTCTCACTGAGGAGGTGTGTCTGTCTGGATAATAAACAAGCTCACGTGCTGTCTGATACAAATATGAATGTGTGCACGTGAATGAGCTGAGCCTGTGTGAATGAATGAAGCTGCATATGAGTGAGGAGTGTTCAAAAATATCTGCTCATTCATTGATTCTCTGATTTATGAATGAATGTTTTCTGGCTCATTCATCACTGTTCGACTTAACTTCAGCTTTACCAACCATCATTAATCCATCTATTATTCATCCATCCACCATTCATTCATCCATCCTCTGTGTGCAGCTTCACGCCTGTAGATTTTGGCACAGGTTTCTTGCATTTTGGAGCTGTTGTCAGAGCTGAGAGTGATTGAGACACTTGGACACATACACCATGAAACCAGATACATTGATACCTAGCTGTGTGTGTGTGTGTGTATGCATGTGTGTTTGTGTGTGTGGATTTAGTGAATGACTGCTGTCATGTTGTTGTATACTGACAGCTGACAATAAACTGAACATTTTCAAAAGTGCTTCTCTCAGATATAAAAAGCTTGCACGGCTGAAACATAACCTCTATGGGGTTGATGATACACCACATCGATTAAATAATGGAAGTATAGAGCAGCTGATGTATAATGGAAACAGATTGAAACACATAAATAAGTAAGAGCAATGCCAGGGACAATCATATCACACACCTCCTATCAAGTCAACACACAGAAAGCAGCATTATATATTTTTTTAATATTGATAACAATTCATTTGGTAAGCACAAAATTTGATGTTGGTGATAAATGGTTCACTAGTCACCAGAAAAGAAGACAAGAGGAGGAAAACAACATAAAAGTAACGAGGGATTTTGAAATACGCTGGGGGCTGAATAACATAGACATCTGCCAAAGTGAAGAAAACAAACATGGAGGTAAGCCACTACAAACCCCAACACAGTATGGGCTTTGGTGGTTTTGAAGGACTAGTTGAGTGGGGAGTAAATGCTAACAGAAAGGTTATTGAGAAGAGGATCTTATACAGGGGCTGCTGCTATTTTCTGCATCAAATTGCTAAGGAAAAAAATAATCGGATTTTACCATGGATGAAAATATCAAGTTTTATATTAATTCAACCTGCAAAGAAGCGGACAAGAATCCTTAAACTATATCATGACAAAAAATTTCATTTTTAAAAAACTTAAAGAGGGGATCATTAAAAAATTATGTCTGAATAAGGCGACATTCTCTGCAGCACACTACATTTTCTTGAACCAATTTGATGCAAACTCTGAGTAAGCCACAAGGTAATTTACACCGTTTTTTGGCAAGTCTTGTGAATCTTTCAGCATACTTTATGGCTTGTAAATGCTAAACAGACTTTGTTTAGGTAGCATTTTCTCGAGGTCAAAGTTTTCTCAGCTCAAAGTCACATTCACCTATTCACATAAAATTCACATACTAATGGCAGAGGCTGCTAAGTATGGAGCCCATCAGCTTTTGACTAATCCCATTCACACACCTTTGGGTGCAACCGGTGTTGTCAAGTGTCTTGCCCAAGGACACTTAAGCATGTGAACCGCCCTGGGATTGATTCCCCGACCTTCTGATCAGCAGATGACTGAGTCAGTTTGTCAGTTGTGCTGACTCTGAGGCTGTACTTCCTGTGAACCAAAGTGTCTTCATGAAGACTTATAGCCCTGTGTCCATTGTATTACAATGGGATGATGTATGTACAATAGGTGACCATGCTCAGGCCCCAGCTGACCCTGGAGTAACATAAGCTCAGGCCAGCAGGGGGCAAACATGCTTTGGCACAGTAGCTTTGCCTAATGCATCCACATTTATCAAAAAGTTGCTATGAAGGTCATACAGGTACAATAATTATATTCATAATGATATATTTGAGGATTAAGGTTTTAAAAACACATAAAACAGAAAGCCCCATGAGTAAAGGTAAGTTAAATATTTAATGATGCATTGTGTTTTTCCAGCAAAGTTGGGCGTCAAAAACAGCAACTCTCACTTTCTGTTTTAAGCATCATCACATTATTTAAGCATTTAATTAAACTGTAATAAAACCTAAAATGATGAAAACATCATACAATACTTTGGTACTGAAGGAAAGGATTTGCCAGGACTTCTATTTTCTTGTCCTGAATACAAAAACGTATCTGCCTGTCCATTTACAAAGACGCTGTTTGTTGAATCCGTGGTGAACAGACAGACCTTCACCATCATCTTTATCATCGTCATCATCATCCTCAGGCCTGCTCACAGTGAACAAATAGAAGGAGCTCCTCAGATGTTCTAATTAGAAATACCAGATTAGATATGCTGCATGAACACACACCCCACCCCCACCCTCTCTGAGAGTGCTGGGTAGCCTGACTAAAAACACCCTCTGTTTCTGCTCTGAGAGCTGCAGACTGAGACACCAGCAGAGAGTCTGAGGCTGCTAAACAGACACCCTAAACAGACCCATTTACTGGCTCACTCACCTGCTCTGCTCAGCTCTGACTCTCCTGCTCTGTCTCTCCTTTTCTCTCTCCTGCTGTGGCTCTTCTGCTCTGGTACCTACTCTAACTGCCTGAGAGGCAGAATCCACCATGCAGACAGGAAGGCACAGAAATGTCATGCACACGCTTTTTTTTTCTGCACTCAAATATTTGGCCCTGTCAAGGTTTCTCTTTGACACTCAGGTAGAAAGAAGCAGTGAGGGGCTGCAAGCTGAGCTGAAGCTTCCATGACTTTGGCTTGCCCTTGACTCCCGAGGTCAAAGTCAAATTAACCTGAGGGTTTCAATTTGCTCTCAAACTGATATACTGGTTGAAATTATTAGCATGACATTTTTAGAAATCAGAGTTTATATCCACACAGCACATCTAGATAGGCTGCAAGTTTAGCTGTCTTTGACTGCACATTAGGCTCTTTGGAAGTACTCTGCTTGTTTAAAGGGTTAGGATCCTGCATTGTTCTTCAGAGGAGGTTTTTATCAGAAGCTCAAATTCGACGGGAGCGAATTTGTGAGGCGAATAATTCCCTTTTATTAAAACCTATTGAAGTCAATGCGACCTTACACACTGGCAGCGAAAATTTTGCGAAGCGAAAAAGCGACAGTTATTTAGCCCTAGCCCTACTCTGCATTCATTCATCATGACTGAGGGCTTCATCATTATTCTGCAGGAGCGCCGTGCTTTAAGGGACAAGTCCCTTAAAATATTCCACGACATTCTCCTCAAAGAAAATATATGGCAGGAAATAGAAGACCTTAACTTACCTGGTAAGTATATTCATGTTATATCAATCCTCAAACATGGATGTGTAACGTAGCTAGCACAATATGAAGCTAAGCTATCTAACTAACCAGCTTGGGGCATCGAGACATCATCACTTGAGGATGTAGTCGACTCCATTCTTTCTCCTTCAGCACAAAAGAAAAAGCGCCAAACTTTATTCGCTTAGCAGATTTTATTCGCAAAATTTGCCAGCTAAACATTCGCCATTATCCTGTCTCTTATGCGTCGCCTCGCCTATTGCCCAGTGTGTAAGGACCTTTACTCTTTAAAACAAAATGACATGGTGATTAAAAAACATTCTAGCTCTGAATAAAACAGCTCCAGTTTAAAAAAATGTTGCCCATTGTAACAGGAGCTTTTTGCAGCCAGTGTCAATGCAGATGTTGCAACACACACGTTTAACTTGTTAATCAAACTTCAAAGACCCCTATACCACAGCCAGTCAATGCAGCTCCATGTGTTTTGGCTTCACTTTTGAGGAGCTCTCTTTTCATCCATCTTTTTACACAGTCTTATGTTTTAATTTTCCTGCACAAACTCTTCATCTTTTCCCACCCTGTATTGTGTCAGTTTTTCACCTATGTTAAACTGCAGATCAGTCTGTCACTCTTCATCTTGTCGGTGTGTATGTCCTGACAAACTTCTCTTGGATCAGCTCCCCAGTCGCTCTCTGTGGCTGTGCTGCGTGATTATTCTCTGTCGGCTGCAAAGGACTGCATGATGCATGGACTGTTCTTTATGTAATGACAACACATACTTTAAGTCTCATCTCAGTGGTTTCAGAGACATGTTTTGTTGGAAGTATTCCCACAATGGAGCCAAAAGAAGTTTTCTATTCCCCAAACAGGCACTGACCTCGCTGTTCAGCACAGAGAAAAGAAGGAAAACTCAGCGAATAAAGGTCAGCTCTTCAGGCTGGTCTTCACATTTGAACAGACTCTGACAGAGTGAAATGTGCAGAGCACTCAGCTGACAGCTGGAGTCTAATGAAGGGATGATATCAAACTGCATTATGAGAAAGCTAGGATCTGTTACCTATAAAGCTTTATGACTCACTTAGTATTTATTCCATTGTATCAACACTCTGCTGCACTGATGTATCTCGCTGGCCTGCTGCTGCCTGTCAGACACTTTCACTTCTTTAGGTTCAGACTAAACTCACAGTCCTTTACAACACTAACACACTGCTACTATCAGTTCGGTAAGGGGAACAATAAATCAATGTGTGGGTTGGTTCCTATAGCACTGAGTTTGTGATACTGGGGTATTTCCTCAGTTTGTGGAAGAGTAGAACATATTTGGGTATAAACCTACCCCTGTGTGTGTGTGCATGCGTGCGTGTGTATATGTGTGTGTGTGCAGAGACATACTATAGGCTGAGAAGAAAAGAGATTGTATGAACCTTTTCTTGGCTTTTTTCTGTCTTACCCTTGCAGCTGCAAAGCATGATGTTGTTTGTACAGCAATGCAACAACCTAACATAAACTAGCTTGCAGTTGTTTCTACATCACATTCATTTGTCTCAACAGCTGTTTTCAATTGGCGCTTAACTCCTATCAATGTCCTGTAAATTTTGGGGTGAGCTGCATATGTGAGCTGTTTCACTTTTGTTTCTGTTCCTAGCATCTTTTTTTGGCTCCAATCTGATGGGAAAACCTTCATCCATGTGAGGGATGTGTGAGAAAAACAACTTTGAGAAATTTCAGGGGCAGAATTTTCCTGAAGTTTTTTAGAGAGCACTTATGAAAAGAGCTTAAAGTCAAGTGGCAACCTCTAATGATCTATATGAAACCAATGCTTTGGTCCACCTTATGTTGTGGACTACAACATTTACAGTTTAGTGACAGAAATATTCAGACTGAGGATTCTCAGTCATCTTTGGACAGCTTGCTGCTGCAGCAGATCCTCTTTAACCACATCAAGATCCTCCTCATTCTGGGTTTTTGGACCTGGACCTGGACTTCCACGGCCTCATTTGGAGTCTGAAGAGCTGGCTCTGTGGTGGACTGCTCATCCATAGCCTCATCCTCCAGGACTGCAGCTGTGATGGGAGCTTCAGTGGGCAGGATCACAGGAGGTGATGGAGTTGGCACCATCAGGGTCTGGGTTGTTGGTTCATCCTTGGTTCCTGGCTCCTCAATTTTGTCCACATCCTCCAGGTCTGAAACTAGGACTGGAGGTTCATCCTTGGTTCCTGGCTCCTTAATGTTGTCCAAACCCTCCAGGTCTGAAACCAGGACTGGAGGTTCAGCTGGCAGGTTGACAGGAGGAAGATGAGTCTGGACTGACTCAGAGAATAGTGGCTCAGTTGAAATACTCTGGCTGGCGATGGATGGCTCATGAGGATAGACTGCAGGGGACGGTGGAGAATCCTCCTTGGCAGGTTCTGCTTCCTGGCCTGGCTCTTGGTTGTTGATGGTATCATCAGTATTAGGTTCAAACAGTGTTGGAGGCTTTCCCAAAGCAGGCTCTGGATCTCTGGTGGACTCCTCCTCCTCATCCTTGCCCTCCAGGACTGAAACTGTGGCTGTAGCTACAGCTGGCAGGGTCTCATAAGAACATGGAAATTGCTCCACAGAGTCCAGTTCACTGCTTGGTTCTGGGTCCTTGCTGTCTGGCTGTACTGAGTCTGTGACTGGAGGTTCAGCAGTCAGGGTTTCAGCAGGAGTTGGGATTGGTGTAGCCTGGCTGATATTTGCCAGCTCCTGATCAGCTGTTTGACTCAGTTGCTCGAACAGCTGACGGATGGACTCTGCTGAAACCCTTTTGATAATGTCGAACACCTCCTCTTCAAAACAGTTATCCTTCCTCCTCAGATAGTCTAAAGGGAACATCTGCCTCACCTCTGCTTCGATGGCCAGGACCATGTTGTCTCTTACAGACTGAGATAGGTGGCCTGATGAAGAGTTGAAAGGGAAAAAGAGACACAATCAAGGGTGGCTTTTGTGACTCCAACAGCCATCTCACTCAGCTTCTCTGAGGGCATTTTATGGCCGATGCTTCTTTTAGGTTTCCAGAAGACCTGAAGGACTTTAGGAACCAGTTCAGTGACCATCTCAGACCCAAACTCTGACAGACAGGAGCCCTCTGCAGCTGCTCCAACAGAACCTGTGCGTATTCCCGGGCTTTGCTTTGGATCTTCGGATGCTGGTAAGAGGGAGGTATTGAGTCCGGGGAGTCGAACAGTTTTCTCGCTTCAAATTCCACGTCTCTTTTTAGCAGGCTGGTGTTGACCTCCCACAACAGCTCCAACAGAGGCCTGACATCCTTATCACATCCCTGCAGCTCAAACTCCCACAGCTGCATTCGGAGTGACTTCTTGCTGTCCTCCACCATCAGGTTGGCCATGTCTTCAGCAGTCAGCTCTGCAGAGAGCTGGTTGTTCTGCTGAAGTTGAAGGAGTTCAACCATGAGAGCCACCTTGGCTTTATATGACCAAAGGTTCTAGCAGATCTACTTGGCTTCTTTGTACATTGGTTCCTCAAACAACACCCTAAATGGCTGGTAGACACCTCTACTGCCTTCAATAAATGCCATGACGAATCAGATTCTTGATGTCCAAGAAGAAGATAAAGCAGACGCGCACTGGTAACAGTATCTGTCGTTTGAAGCTACGAACTGCCTTATATATGTTTGTACTCCTCTAGCTGTATTTATCCCCACATGAAAGTTCCTTTGTCTGAAGTCTCAAGTCTGAATACTGTGGGTACAAAAGATCACCTATATCTATCTGTCTTGCAGCAAAGAGACAGGAGCCATCCACCACCAATGAATTTTGGTCATTTAAGGTGTTATGAAGTGGATGATCCATGTTCCCCAGAATAGCCTCCAGCTTCCACAGTGTGCATCTCTCTATGGTTTAAGCACCCAAAGTATGGAGGCTATAGACCTTGATGCTGCAGTCACTAATTTGACTCCTGGCCCAGGCATTCTGCATGTGCTCCATAATTTGCATGGCTGGCTTTGACCCAGAAGTTGAAGAGTGTAATTGTGGTGCAGGGAAGCTTTGTAATAAACTAAACCTCAACGGGATAAGAGAAAAAGGACAAAGCTGCTTTATCCTATGTATGTAAGTTATGTAGGATATGAGTCATCCAGTACGAAAGCGGGACAAGTTAACTGGAAACTGATGGAGTTATGATGCCATTTATATATAAGCAATTATCAATGGAGCAGAAACATTTAACATCTGTCAAACAGCCAAAAATGATGGTGTCACAGAGTGTAATCTGAGGACAGCAAGTCTGAAAAGGTCATCCTGAGATGGGTGTTTGAGTGTGCTGCTGAAAAACAGATCGAAGATATGTCCATACAAGACCCATCATCCATCAGATAGACTGCAGGTTATTTTAATGGTTTAAAAATATAGTAACTAAGAGTGCTGCACCCATGATCAGATTATATATATATTAATTTTGTTGTTTTATTGTCATCGCCAAAATAATTTGATTTTCAGAAAACCAAATAAGTCTTGAAAGATGAAATCACTCATTTTGAAAAGTAAAGGATTTTGCTGTCACTGGAAATGTTGTTGTTTAACCCTACAGATGAAAATGCCAATAAATGAACTTATAGTAAACATGTAGGTCTAAACACCGTGCCTGATATATGGACATCTCTTCGACAACCAGTTTAATGACTCTGGCTTAAAATCTTTGTTTTGCCCCGCAGTAACACACACTGACAACACAGCATGGCCTAGAGCTGATCTCTTTATCCTCCTGCTGATGTTTGCAGGGCTCTTAATGTAAAAATCAAAGACAACTGTCCAGGCCAGTAATCATTAAACACTCAGGTGCCTCTGTGACTCAAACTCCCCACAGTCGGTGTCACTCCTCCCTCCCTAGGTTTTACATGAGCATAATGAATAATAAAGGTTGGCCCCCTGTGGTCCAGGTGGTTTACCACAAATGGGAGGAGGGGGTTGTGGGGGTGGGGGTGGGGGGGATTCATTGGTATTCAGATACAGCTCCAAAGAGTCTCAGAGATCCCTGAGCTAATGAAACAGAGCCAATTAAAGAGGAGAGAGAGAGGACTCCTGAGGCAACACGGGTGAGAGAGCTGTACGTTATTTCAGCGAGAGCCGGAGAATACCTTCCTTTCTCTCTGCTTCCATCTGAATCTCTCCTGTCACCTTTATCCATCTTCACTTTCATTACTTTCCCCCCTCTCAGTATTAGAGGTGTTAAACTGAGAGACCGTTTCAAACGACAGGGACAAAATTTCATCAACACACAAATACATCAAAATAAAACAAAACTAGGGATACAGCTGGTTCGCCACAAATTTTAGATTTTCCAAGATGTTTTCTACGATAACTGGTAGCAGTAGAGGTTGAACTGGTAGTATAAGTAATAGAGGTTGTAGTCGTAGTCGTAGCAGTGGTAGTAGGAGGAAGAGGAGGGAAGCATATTTACATTTGTGCATCGTCACCTAAATTTAAAAAGTGATTCTCTTCGTGGACCGAGTTTGAGCTTTTAATATCTTGACTGGAGCAGGTCCCCCTGTATGGAGACTGCCATCTTGCCTCTCACCTCTTCATCTCTTCTAAAGCACTGAACAGACAAACTATAGGTACATTAGTTTCTCTGCACAGATAGAAGATCATACTTATCATGCACCACAGGAGACTCTTGTCCTTGAAGGTCACTGTAGCTTCATTAATGAGCAAGGGGACATTTCAGTCTTGAATCAGATGTGGCTACATTTTTCCATTTCTACGCAATGTACCTTTAAAGTGCAGTGACATGTTACAAGAACAGATATTTTTACATTTGATGAATAATTTGATAATGTTTTTATGCCACTAATTAACTGTCAGTTTCACACTACAGCGTAAAGTAAGTTGAATATGAGATAGCTCAAATTGTACGTGGGAACTAGTTAAATAAATGTGCTCTCATTGAGTTATCTTTTCGTAATCTGATTTGAAATTAAAACCAAATTAAATCTGAGTTTACTAATGAAGGGTAAAAAGGCACTTTATTCAGTCGCAGAACAAATCTCTTGTCACATTACTATCCATAAATATTCAGTCATCATCTACATATTAAATGCTTCATTATACCTCATTCAGGAGGAAATTGAAAGAAAAAAAAACATAATTAGATCAAGTTAATGACCCTGACTGAAAATTAATTCTGTTGATCTGTAATGTTTCTCTCATGCTAAATTGATATCAGGTCAAATTACTAATTTGAAGCTCTGTATTTTATTGAATATTAAATTTAAAACCTCAGATGTAGCTGCAGATTGTTTGTGATGAGAGTATTACTTCACATCCTGGTGTGTGGGTTTTTATTTTGAAAGAAGTAGAAACTCTGATGCTGAAACAGACATAATAAAATCATTGCACTTTCATTTAAATGCTTAAGAAGGATATGTTTCAGCGGTTTTCATCTATAATAACTCAGCTCTCATATATCAGTGATATAAAGAGTTTAGGGTCCTTCCTGCTGTGATAATGTTATCAAGCTGCTGAATGACGGCAGTTTATCAGTTCAGATCAGATTCTGTTTTATTCGGCTATTATCTCCTCGAGCTGTTCAACAATAAAAACACATGATTCTGCTCTGTTTTTATCCAGCCTGTAAAGATTTTAATGGCTTCTTCTTGTTATAATACTTTATCCTTAAGTCCCAGACTCTTTTTTGTTTTTCTAATTTCGAGTTATTGGTAATCTGAGTGAAAGCTCCCTCTGTCTCAGGTAATATGGTTTTCTTTCTCTTTAGTCTTTTCCCTTTGTCTCCCTGTATCTCTCTCTTCTCTAGCCTGTCCTCCTCTATCACCTTTCCCTCCTTCTGAGGTCTCTCTCTTCGCTGTCCCCTTGTTTTAATGACCTAAAGCTCTCTCTCTCTCTCTCTCTCTCTCTCTCTCCTTCTCCCTGTTTTCACCTCCAGTAAAAGAGAAGCTGTTCAGTCTCACTGGCTCTGACCCATCTTCCTCATTAAACTTTTACTGCTCATTATGAGTCCCACATGTGCAGGTCTTAAAGAAGATATCCATCGGAAATCTGTTGCAGCAACACCAGTTGGTGTCTAGACCAACTAGTGATTGTATTATTTCATTTGATTACAACACCTATAGTTTCCACTGTGACATGAAACAAAAACTCTTAAACTACGAACACGGAAACTGTTGTCAGACTCTAATGGAAGGCTGTTTTACAGACAAGTAGAGGTCTGAATCACTGCTCAGACATTTGAGAATATGCAGCTGATGGAGCGAGGCTGCAGTGCATCTTGGGGCATGTACCCACTGAGCAAAAAGTGGTTCCGAAAACGTTAAAAAGACGTCTTTAGAGGGGCCAGAATGAACTTTTTTAATACGTCTTTTCCGAACGCTATTATGACGTCATTTCTGTACCTATAACAGACGTCCTCAGAGGGGCCAGAATGATAGTTTACCGTACGTGGTTCCTGGATGGCATTTTTGGTGTGCCTCAGGCCTAGGAATGACGCTATATAGAGGTTTATAATTTGGTCTGTCTCAACATCTATCCTCGACTAGTTCTGGCTATCTGCAGACTTCCAGAATTTGGCCAGGCTGAACAACATTATGTTTGAACCAAATATGAACCTTATATATGTTCAGATAGTGGCACATGCTAATGTCTATCTTTGACTAGTTCTGGTTGTCTAATAACATCCAGAATTGGGCCAGGCCGAACTGCTTGTCTCAGTGTCTTTAATCAACTAATACCGGAGTCACAAAGATGTTCAGATTGTGGCCTGTCTCGACATCTATCCTTGACAAGTTCTGGTTGTCTGTAGACGTCCAGAATTGGGCCAGGCTAAACAACATCACTTACTGTCATGTTTCAACTAAATATGGACGTTATATAGACGTTCAGATTATGTACTGAATGGACCAATGTGATATCTACTTCTGTAGGCACAAGAACTTTTGCTCTGCATTTAAAAAGTTACAACTTCATTGTACTACATTTGACAAAAGCTGTGACAGGGCATATACCTGCAGGGAGACAGAGAGGATGATTTACTTTTTAGATTCACTGTCATGGGTTTGCTCATAGGTTCATGAGGACAGTAGTGGACAGTGTTGCAATACTATATACAATGAATCACAGAGACTTTGGTGGTATCTGAAAAACGAGTAAACACCGTCTGTCCTCTCCTGTCTGCGAACTCTATTCACTCCCTGTGGCTTAGTCCTTTGTACCGCAGAAGATGGAGCTTCTCTCAGTTATAAATTATGAATTTAATCTGCTGACTGTCTGTCTGTCCGCCTGTCTGTCTGTCTGTGTCCTTATCTGCTCCTCTGTCCTCACCCTGAAACATTTCTATTTCTAGCAGTTGTAGGACCTCATTTTCAAGGCCCAGACACTGAATGGTGCAAGGACCCCGTAGGAACCCTAAAGAGTATTTTTGTTATTTCTTGTTGGTAATGAATCTCATTTTTGGACGCTTCTTTATACACCAAAATTCTCAGATTTTACACATTCACCTGGTCTTTTAAAAATGTTCTGTTTTGGTGTCTCGTCTACAACTTTTGACTGTTTGAAAAGTGTAGATTTAAACAAACTTGACTGGGTGGTCAACTAACTCAGTTAGTGTCTCGTAACACATTCAAAATCACAGGTTATCAAAGGTTTTTGTGGCGTCAAACTATGTGCCCCTGGTAGTTTTTTAAACTTCAATGCCTCCCCATGAAACAGGAAGTAGATTAGATTACATAAAATTAGATTAGATTAGATTAGATTAGATTAGATTAGATTAAAGTAGATTAAAGTAGAGTAGAGTAGAGTAGAGTAGAGTAGAGTAGAGTAGAGTAGAGTAGAGCAGAGTAGATTTTATTGAATTAGATTAGATTAGATTAGATTAAAGTAGATCAGAGAAGAGTAGAGTACAGTAGAGTGGATTAGAGTATAATGGAATAGATTGAATTGGATTGATTAGATTAGATTAGATTAGATTAGATTAGATTAGATTAGATTAGATTGGAGTAGATTGGAGTAGATTAGAGTAGAGTAGAGTAGAGTAGGGCAGAGCAGAGTAGATTTTATTGAATTAGATTAGATTAGATTAGATTAGATTGGATCAGTACAGTAGAGTGGATTAGACTATAATGGATTAGATTGAATTGGATTGATTAGATTAGATTAGATTGGATCAGAGAAGAGTAGAGTACAGTAGAGTGGATTAGAGTATAATGGATTAGATTAGATTAGATTGGAGTTGAGTGGAGTGGAGTGGAGTGGATTAGATTAGAGGTTGGGGAGGTTCCCTTAGAGAAATTAAAATGCTGAAATATATGCTGATTCTTCAGCAAATCAAAAATCAACTCTGTGAAATTCCACTGTTGTAGATCTTACATTCACTGTCCAGTCTGCTCCAGATTACATAGGTTCTATGTTAGTCTCAGTCTCAATTTTTTTATGCGTACCATTAGGTCATGTTGACAGCATCATCTTAGAGGGTATAAACTCCTATATTCAGTTTTCATACATCTTTTTTATTTTTATTAAAAAAATTCAGATAAAATAGCATCATAACCACCAGCACTGTGTTCAGACCCAAATATCAGTGATGACTCATCCAGACATTCCTGAATTTTTCAGCCACATCTCCCTGGATTTTCTGTTGGAAGACACGAGACATTTACTCTTCTCAGCAAAGTTTAGCCTTACACCTCCTTAAAGTCATGAATGAGACTCCTCCTCACCCTCAGTCTTCCTGAGTCCCCCCCTTGTTTCCTCACGGAGAGAACAGCAGCTCTATATTCAGACCAAAGTGACGGAGTTTCTTTCTATTAATACCTGAGAGGCTGTTTCTGCATCTATAATTAATAAACCTGCTGTGAGTCGCTCCCAGACTCTGCTGCTCTCAGATCAGTGTTTGCTCCAAAACCAGGAGAAACCTGCTGTTCAGGGAGCGTTCAATCTCCCCCCCGTTATATTATATAACCTTAATCTGCCTCTGCATCGCCCCTGAGCATAGAGAGGGAGAGAGAGGGAGGGAGGGGGGGAAGGAGAAGGAGGTGAGAGGGAGAGTGGGAGAGTTTGTATTCCCCTCAGAGAGAGGGACGAGCCTCAGATGACCCGAGAATTTATCTGCTTGTTCCTCCTGCAGCGTGTTGAATCTGCTTCCTCCTTCTCCCTCTTTCTCCTCCTCCTCCTTGTTAATCCCTGATAACCTCCCTTTCTCCTCCCATCCCCTCTTCTTTCATCCCTCCTAACCCCCCCTTCCCCTCTTCCTGCAGGTGCTTTATTTATTTCATTCCTCCGGTCTTTGTCTTGTGTATCCTTTGTTCCTCTGTGACCCTCCTCTCTCTCCTTACATGCACTAATGTTCAGAGTGTGATTCAGTTGCATCAGAGTTTTTTAATTACTTCCAGAAATCATTCCCAATTAAAGAAATAATTTCACTTTGAGATCGTTTGTTTGACTTTTTTTTTATTTTTGGTGGTAGGGGTTAGGATTAGGTCATATGTAACCACTATGCAACCACTAAGCAAGTAAGACTTCATATTGTTTCAACACAACACAGACATATTTGTCAACGTTCTCATCTGGATTCCCCTAATGGGGCGCTCACACCAAGTGCGAGTAGAATCATCTACTCGCTTAATTCGCTCGAATCTAGACGCGTAAATAAAAAGTATTTACTCGCTTCATTCGCACATCAACGGTAATTTCAACGGTAATCCCCGTCAATTTAACCGGCGGGATCAAGTGACCTCCTCACTCACTTGCCTCCAGGCAAGCCTATTTTTATTCCAGATTCGGTAATTGAAAGAAAAGGTATTATATAATTCAGAACACCCACACTCTGACTCGATCAGTTTGTCCTCCATTTTAGATATCAGTGAACAACTGTTCATTTTCATACATCATCCGGCAACCTTTGTGCCGATTAGTTATCGCGACATGAATATTTGCGTTAGCGTCTAATCCGACTTCACGTTGACTTAACATGTAATTCATTCGCACAAGTGATTTTACTCGTGTTTGGTGTGTGGAGACAGTAATAGCTGGATTTAAAGTCAAGATTGAACTCTCTTTACAGGTTCGGTATAAAAGCACAGAATCTGTAGGAGCAGGATTTTGTTTTTGCAGGTGTTCTGGTCTCTGGTTCTGGTACTGCCTGTAGAACCATCCAGTAGTGAATCTGAGAGCATTACTGGTTCAAGAAAAAGAGTCCATGCAGTGAGTTGAAGGGCAGAACTTAATCTGTTGTAATGTAGAGCTGTACACCATGAGTACAGTAATCCAAGTATGATGAAGCTCTACAAACAGAAATTTAAGTGCAGCTATAGCACTCCAGTTTTGCTTCTCAGGTTGTTTAACAGACTTTAAACAAGGGAAACATTCAAAAAGACCAGAAATCTTTAACAACAAGGCACTGGCTTTACTAGAAACCCTGAAAAGTGACTGTGACTCCCAGCAGCAAACAATAGCTTCATGGATATGGTCAGATGAACTTCTCACTGCATCCACCCTCTTAAAAGCAGAGCACTGTTTAATGACCTTTCAGTAGGGATCGATACTTGGATTTCTCTGATGGACAACAACTGTTTGTGTTTTTGATGTGAAAACCTTTAGAGCGTTGCATAAGAGCTGTGGTTAAATCCATCTGATTTTAACTTGCATCTCATACTCAGGCAATCCCAGGCCTGATCTGAAGAGGCAAATGGACATGACTGGAGTTCTTGAAGATGTTTTGCCTTTGACTGGAGCCAGAGCTAGAAAAATAATGGCGGTATCAGAGGAATAGTCAATCCTTCACAAGCACGGCTAATTCAGTCACTCAGCTCCTCTTTAAAATATGGTCCCTCCTGGCTCTAGAAAACCATTATGGCAGCCATACAGAGCTTCACGAGGGCAGCCAAACCACCCAGTGATGTGATACTGTTGGTGGGTCCATTATTTAAACAGTCTATGGTCTCACAGTGAGACTTCCAGTCATCTGGTCCTCTGCTTGTCCCCCCCCATCTCTTCTCTCAGAGTCCCGTTTGGTCCATTAGTGGAGTGTGTGTGTGTGTGTGTGTGTGTGTGTGTGTGTGTGTGTGTGTGTGTGTGTGTGTGTGTGAGTGCAGATTGAGTCCTCTGAAGGTAAATATGATCAGTGTGTCGTCTGCAGCCTGATGGATCTCAGTCCTACAGTCTAAATTTACTTCACCGAGAGAGCATTACGTTAGCTGATATATGGAGCCCATAGACAGCTAAACAGGTTCATTGTTTATAATGTGCCCTCCCACACACATACACACACACTCATATTATGCACTGTAGGGCGACAGCAGTCTAAACTGCAGGGTGCGATGTTTAGAGCACTTTTTATCACATTATGGGAAGTTATTATATTACACTGCCACGCTGCAGTGAATTATGCAACACTTGTGCGTGTGTGCCAGTGTCTGCGCGCGTGTGTCCTGATGAGTTGGAGAGCATCCAACAGATGAGGTGCCCACTCTTTGACTCCTCCACTCCCCGCTCTGCTTTTACTGAAGGAATGACGCTCTGTGAAATATTCTTGAAATTATCACGATTTTCTGAAATAATGAATGTTTGTTTTGTTACTTTGGTGATTTCTCAGACGTTAACCTGAAGCAGAGTGGACTGTTGTTGCCTCACAGCTGTGTTGCATCACATTACCACCATCAAACACTGATGCAAAAGATCAGAGTCTGACCCTGCGACTGGTGACCAGCCCTGGCTCTGCAGATCAGAAGTCAGCACCACACACACCCGTTGTGCATGTGACAGCTCACACCTGAGCCCTCAGCATCAAACACCAGGTGCCATAATGCAAGTAACACTCAGTCAGGCTGTCCCTGAGTCATCACAGCTCAGTAAACACAACCTGTCCTGTTTAATGGACCAGCACGCATTATCATGGAGCTGAATGTGCAGTCGTAAATCTGCTATCTGAACTCAGTGAGAAGACACAAAGTGAAAGAAAAACACCACATGACTTTGATCCAAAGTTAAAGGTCGTACAGGTTGCATTAACATGTTAGATTAATCAGTTAACAGTCTTCTTGTTCATTTAAACTTTCATTCAAACACTGCTGGTCACATTTGCTGATTCTTGTGGCTAAACAGAGCTCTAAAGAAAATACCAATGCTGTTAGAGATCAAATCTCAGCAGAGAGATTGTTCTGGATGGTTTCCAAGAGCAGAGAGTATGGATACATTAAATCTGAACTTCATCTTCTCTCTGAGGGAGATATAAATGCTCAGATGGAGGCTGTTTTCTGTTTGGATGATCAATCTTTTCTGTGCCAGACCTTTTTTGCAAAGAAAACTATCATGATGGCGAGTGAATAAAATGGGCCATGAAGTAAAGGTTACCACTATGAAGGTTTCAGCAATCTGCTTCTTATATCGGTGTGAGAAAGCATTGCTTCATCGCAGCCCTCATTTCAGCTCAGATACTGAATTTTTGCGCCACCTGGTTCCCTCTCCTGTTTCAATCTGTGTAACCCTAAAATCCTGAAGCCTGTACTACATAGCAGGGTTTTGATAATGGAGGTAACTCTAAGGTAAACATGGTACTGTTTTCAGTACTGTGAAGATGGTTCTCTTCTTACTAATGCAGATCTCCGGGGTAACTGATGCTGAACACTTGACCTGCACCAGAGCAGCTTATGTTTGGGGTCATAGACTATCCTCAATGAGCACAGATCTCTGTGAACTGACTGAGAGAGAAGGACAGAGATAGAGACAAAATGAAGCTTTTTCTGCCTGTTTGATGTTTGTTTGTGGTTTCCCAAGGTGTAAGAACAATTTTTAGATATGGTTTTATTTCCTTCTTTTATTCAGTGGTACTGTTGTGGAGGTTTCTGAGCATGTTGAGCTCAGAAACAATGAAGTGTACCATACCATCATAGTAGGGCTGGTCGATATGGGAAAAGGTTTATCACGATATATTTTTTCATATCAGTTGATATCGATATATATCATGGTATAAAAAAATGAAATTTAACAGTGCTTATTGGTAGCATGTCTTTTGCAATACAAAAAGCTATTGCATCAGTGAGGTCTTTGTGTCTCTTTGAGGTTTTGTTGTAAGGCGTTGCGCTAGAGAAAGCGGATCTTATGGTCGGCTGTTTCAGCTGCACAGGCAACACAGGCTCCTTGCTCCGCTAGGGGTTTGTAAAATTTGAAAAGATTTGAGGTATTCCCTGACTTTGCGAGAACATGTACTCGACATAATTCGCAGCGCATATTACTCTGCTTCATGTCCCACCTCAAAAAACCAAAATACCTCCACACCACCGACGTTTTTGGGCCAGTGTTGTTGACGATGTGATCATCTGTTGAGCCTTCATCTGCATTTCTGCCAGGGGTAGTACTCATTTTCTTTTTTTCTCACCAACAGTGCTGTGGGTTTCACCTGTTAAAGTGCTATGGTTACATCTAGCTGCAGCCTGTTACTATGCAGTTGTTTGCTTCCTGGTTCTAATTCAAGACATGATTGGTTCAGTGGGAAGCGGACCCAGAGCAACTCCCCTTTTCATTGGCTATTCATATAGTCTACCAGAACATGGCAGAATGCAGACTATTAAAAAGCATATTGACCATATTTTATTTTGATATTGAAGGAATTTAATTTTCGTTCTATAGCGTTATCATTTTATCGCCCAGCCCTACATCATATTATATTATATTGTATGTGACTGTATTGTATTTTACTGTATTGTGTCATATTACAGTCAAAAGTTGCGTCTACTTTCTTGAAGTTATTTGCTTCCTTGTCCCTCTTGCAGGCAGTGGGCAGCACACTGATGGTGATTCAGTATACCAGCGTCTTGCTTTGAAAGAGGAGGTGTTAATGGTTGGCAGTGGAAGCCTTGAGTCTGGCAGGGGGATTTCTTATAAACTCTGCCAACTGTTGATTTCAATTAATCTCAGAACATTTATTTTTGAACTGTATGTGCTAATTTCCTCCTCTTGAAAACCTCCAGTGATAATTTAATGTAAACTTTGTCTTTATCAGTCAGGGGAACTTAGTCCTGCACTGTAGAGAAGAGAGGCAAAGGGTAGGAGGACTAGCGCTGGCAGTTAAAAGCCTGTATTGTAACTGACTCCACCTTATATTTCATTCAGTTTTCATCCACTTCAGATGCATAGATGTCATAAAATTTCAAGCCAGTGTCTAGACAGCTCATAAACTTTTAATAAAAGTAATGAGCGATAGGCGACTGCAGATTACATTACAGTCTGAGGAGGTAGAAACATGTTTCAGAAATATCAATATGCTAAAAGTAAATCAACTTGATGTTTTGTTGGCACAACAACTACATCTCAGAATTGATATGACTTTCTGTGATGTGTTCTCATCTTATGTGAAAATTGTGCAGGGAAAACCCTTCATAAGCCCAACCCATTTGTTCTTCCATCCAGATTTAGATGATAATGTCTCTGCCCATCCCTTATCTCCTCTGCCAGGGCTCATGAGGACAGATAACCAAAAAACACTCAGGGTATGTTGAACTCACTCCAAAGTAAAGGCTTGCAAAAAGATGGTTTAAATTTTGTATCACCAGAGCTTCATGATGATCGTCCTCGGGTCACAGAGAGTCTGGTTTGAGATGTTCTTGCATCACTCCCTTTCTGTGATTTAATAGTTTGTTGCTTTTATTCTCTTGGGTAGAAAATGTTTCAAACCTGGTTGAATCATGCTGTGACAGATGTGATATTTTCGTCTCTTTCTGTCAGCGCTGTGCTGTTCCTGCAAGGTTGTGTTTAATGCTCATTATTAATTTAGTCTGACGTTTGAAAACTCTCCGATTCAAATGTTCACATCTTCTCTTTCTCACGTTGTCTGTGGTGCAGCTCGGCTGCATCGCCCTCTCTTCAGTCGGTGTATCAGGAGCAGGATGAATGAACTTGAATGAACTGTTTGTTTACTCTGTTTATGTTCCTTCTGGTTCTTCTCAGTGAGTGCTGTGTGCTTTTTTCTATCACGAGAAACCTCTTTAAACAATAAGTTCTTGTAATATATGATCAGAAGAGCCCCGAACAGATTCAGTATGCCTTTGTGTGTCTCTCTGCAGTTTTTAAGCAGCCATTCAGAGCCTGAGTTAAAAATAGAGCAGAGAGTATTTTTAGCAGAGCAGAGCTAAATGGAGCTGAGGGGCTCACAGACACTGACTGGAGTTCCCTTAATCAGCTGTTACGTCACAGCTGGAGCTCAGTGCAGCTGCTGGCTCACAAATTTAGACTGTAATGAGACAGTTATGTAACAGGCTGTGTTTTATTAATGTAGAACTGGGGAGAGAGGCACAAAGACTACTATAGAACTGATTTAATATCTGCTTGAATCAAACGTCTCTTGACGTACCGTTAGGTTTCTTTCACATCCTGAGAGACACCAGAGCCCATCTAAGACAGGCAGTCTCTATGTGGTTGTTAAATCTGCTCCATAGTTCAGTTTACAGTTTTTACAGCAGTACTGATCATCCAAATCTACCAGGTAAAGTGTTTGAAAACATTTGGAACCTCTTATACCCGGAACACATGTCCTTATAATCAACTGCAAGTCAAGGAGGCCGGTAACAGTCATTTTCCCCTCATAGGAGTGGCTTTACATGATTTGTACTTGAAATAAACTGTAATTATCTGATAATGGTGTCCTCAGCGTCCTGTGCTGCTCACAGCTTGCGGTTTTGAGCCTCTATGGAGGATGTCGTAGTAAAAAATAAACACAATAATCTTCATTTATATATGAATATATAGGTGAAATATTAAGTTTGTGACCGTGTATAAGTATTATAAATATGTAAAGTTAAAATATCACTGTAGAAACTGTTGATAAAAGGGGTAGGATTAAATAAATCTAAACTTCTTCCTACTCCCTTTCGAACAAGCAGGTTGTTGCCAGCAATCTTTGTGTTCTTTTATTTATGGTATGCATGTGTTTGTGTATGGTTACTACCTATATTCTGTTTTCTTTATTGCATGTATGAAATAAAGCATTCATTCATTCATTCATAACCCCAAATTAGTGTAATCTGTTGTCAAGAATCGTTTTGTATCTAATGCATGCAAATCTACTAAGACTTGTGGACTGGGCCTCACAGAAATCGCCCCGAGATCTGGTGTTGAATAAACTAGGTTTTGCTGACATCCTAGAGTTAGTACTAAATTCTGGCCAGAAAGTCAGAGAGAATTTAACAGTCTTGGTGTGAGCTTCTGTCTCCACTGATCAGTGAATAAAACTCAGTCGAACCAGCCACAGATTTGGGCCTGAAGGAGTGTTTCTCTCTCTTTCTTCCACAAGGGTCTAAATAGATGGAACAGCACCAGGTCTCAGTAAAAGTTGAGATGTAAATCCAGCTTGTACAGGCCTTCACTGACAAAGCAGCCAACAGTGAAGTGGCTACACAAACAGCTGTGTTGAGAGACTGGTGCCTGGAAAACACGAACGCTTCAGTAGTGACCACCTGGTTTTAACTTCTTGAGGTTTATTGGTAAATGTGTAAACTTCATTGCAGACTGATTGCTTCTGTACAGAGTAGAAAACAAAGCTTAGCAGGTAAAAGAAAAAGGTATTTCATATAGGGCTGGGAGATACGGCCTCAAATCAATATCACGATACATTGAGCAGTTCACCTCGATAACAATAAATGGACGATAACTACTCCACAAGCTCTCACCTCCTCCCACATTAACTTTGTCTACTTCAGCCACTACAACTCTTGAACCGTCCTCCATCCCCTCACCTGTCTTTCCCTCTTTGTTACAGACTGGATGGGGTGGAGTCACGTCTTTGATGTAGGACAGCGTCTTAAAGGGACATGAGACCATAGCCTACCTTCACACATCCAAAACCAACTTTTATTTATTGATTTTTTTGACACTGAATATACCGATATGGGCAAAATGACATCAGTTACGGTCGTAAATTTCGGTATCTGTAAATTTTCGATTTATCGCCCAGCCCTAATTTCACTCATACTGACTCTGTGTGACACTCAGACTGTAGTTTCATGTCCTGAGGTGTCGTACCAGCCCTGCAGTGAGACTCTAACTGGTCTCTGAGCTGTCTGTTCAGGTCATCAATCTGGTTCTGATTCTCATCATGAAGCTTCTGTCACCCTTAGAGCTCACCTGTCTGTTTCATTGCCCCTCAGCTCCTCACATGTGAGTGATAGATCCTCCCACAGAGAAAGGGCGAGAGGGAGCCGTTCATCACGTCTCTGAGTTTATGTGTTGAGGATGAGATAGATCCTGGCCTCCACAGGATCATCTCTGAGGTCCTGTAAAACCTGTCAAAGGTTTCTAATCAGAGCTGAAAACACATGACCCTACACAAACACACACACACACACACACACACACACACACACACACACACACACACACACACACTTGTATGTGTGTGTGTGTGTGTAATCTGCAGTGAGTGCATCCACTCCGGGTTTATGAGCAGTGATAAATGTTTTTATTTGTGACATCAGGCAAAGCTGCACTGTAAAACAGGCTGACCTTGGTCTGGGTTATATCTACACTTTGTGGTTTGAATTCTAAACAGATAATCTTTTCAGGCATGATGAGCATGTTATTAATCTAACACACAAACACACACACACACAAACACACACACCTGCAGCTCTTTGAGAGCAGAGGATAAAAAGTCATCAGCTGTGAACAAACTTTATGAATGTCTTCCAATTACAGGGCTGGTACTGAGGGTTATCATTAGTTTTGATTTATCTGCTGGTAAACTTTAATATTTGTAATCATTATTATGATGAAAGTTTTACTGGGTAGACCTCATTTGAGGTTGTGCATACACCATATGAAGCTAATCTTGGCCTGAAATGATGCTTTCAGGCTGAGATGATCAGCTGGGTGACAAATGTGCATCTTGCTGTTTGTCAGACAAACTTTTCAAACCCCCCAAACTTTTCCACAGAAGAACATTACAATGAGATTGTAACACAAGACAGGAAATATTTCGAGTTTCTGCTTCTAAAAACTTTAGAGAAATGCAGACTTATAATTTCATTTGGCTGAGCTTATTGATTATTTGATGCTTTCTGCACCTGAGCCCTCACACACACTCTGAGTCTCTCAGGCAGACGCCGTGTGTTGTGTGTTCAGGTGTGTGTGTTTGTGTATCTGTGGATGTGTGTGTGGAGTCACCTTGTGTCAGCTGCAGAGGATGATGGAATGCACGTCTGAGAAGGCGGGAGAAGGAATAATCCTGAAACTGATCTCAGGTCAGCTTTCAAAGTCTGACACAGCATAAAAAGAGGAAACTGACGCCTAATGGTGGTGGTGGAAGGAGATCGGTACATATTAATGCTGCTGTGGGTGGAGATGAGATTGTGGGCGTTGGCTTTGGAAAACAGCAGCATGTGGTCACAAATATCTTATTGATCATAAACTGTGTGAGGTCTGAGGTCTCAAAAACTTGCTTGTAACCGAAATCTGTTTCAGCAAATTCAGATACAGCCTATCATCTGACAGTCGCATGATTCATCCTGTTTCTCTGTTAAATTCACTAATTCACTCATTCAAAACATTTATTCAAGAGTATAAATCCTTACTCTGCAGTGATGTTGAAATACAGAGAAATGAATAATTAACATGATGAAGAAAAGAGAAAACTTGTAAAAACAATAAACATTGCTGGAGGTGAATGAGTTCATTATTTTTATAGTGCAGAAGGAATGGCTCTGTGCATTATGAGAGTCGGCTGTAAATAATTCAACATGTTTGGTGCACAAAGTATGAATTTAGTTTTTTTTATGTTTCAAATGCACTTTTTGGACTTCAGGACTAAGTGAGAAAAAATCTCTATCCGCGAGATGGTCTTCAGTGCCTGTGATGTTGCTGCATCTTTAACATTCAGGCCAAATACAGTAGTGGCAGAGTTAGCACAGGGTGACCAGGTCATGTGACAGGGATCAGGAATATGTGAGATTCAAAGAAAGAAAGAGAGAGACAGAGAGAGAGAGAGAGAGAGAGAGAGAGAGAGAGAGAGAGAGAGAGAGAGAGAAATTATGCAGCATGACTCTGTTGTGGAACCTTGAGTTGAGATTCAAACCAAACCCCATTCAAATAACAGCCATTTTAAAGGTATTTCCCCCCCGTCTTTCCAACAGGCCTGGTAAATCCTGATTTTAGACTTTCCCAAATCTACATCATGATTACAGTTACAATGTCATTTAGTAGACACTTTAATCCAAAGCAACGTACATACGAATCATACACCAGTGGAGGAAAAAACTGGGAGCAATGTAGGTGAAGTGTCTTGCCCAAGGACACAACTGACAGACTAGGGACAGGGGGAATCAAACCGCCAACCTTCCAGTTGCTGGACAACTACTCTACCTCCTAAGTCACTGCCGCCATGATGTTATCTTAGCATCCTTTCAGCCTTTTTACTGCCATTACATCACAGTGTTAATTTACTATTTTGAGGTCATAGATGTCAGATCTTAGCCCACTTTAGTGTGACCTGCTAAAAACAGTGAAACTGGGACTAAGTGAAGGCTGATGAATTTCTCTGCTGCACTGCCAAAACAAAACCCGAGTAGTTGGTGTCCATAAGAGAAATCCTGGTACTTATCATAAACAACAGTTTATTAAACTAGGCACTGGTCAGCCTCAACTTGAAGCAGGAGAAAAGTCCATCCAGACATTTATAGGTCATAGGAAAAGAAGGAGGATCAACCCAGTCCAAGTTTTTTTATTTAAAGTTAAAACAAAGGCAAAGTTTTCTGTCCCTAAAGCTCAGTTTCAAACTTTTTTTTATCACAGTATCAAAGCTGCACACGAAAACTGTTTAACCTCAACATTTTCCTTTAATATAAGCTGTGGACTTTTTGATCAAATCACATGAACTTTAGAAAACGTTTCCCCCTGCCTGATGGTAAACTTTATACCTATGTGAAGCCGAATTTTGTAAAGGTCAGAGACGAGGGAACAACAGGACCACAGAGGGACAGAAAAGTTCACCTGCATCACAGTCTGACTCATAGCGAGAGGAATGAGTACAGAACACACAGGACATGCCACTAAAATATAAGTTTAGGTTCTTATGAAATAAGACAAATGCACAAATAATGATGATAAAGAGAAACTAAACAAACTGGAGGCGTAAAAGGTTTGAATTCAAATTTAGTCTTTTGTTAACAAACTGAACATTTCAGGTTCTAGTTAAAGCTCCCATAGGGGATTTTGGTGCATTCATGAAGTAGACAGAAATTTAATTTGAGGCTTTTACAGGTTACCTAAAAGCAACAGATGGGAGGGGGTTGTTGTCGTGCGGTGGAGGAAAATGCTATTTCCAAACAGAATATTCACAGGAAACGATACAGCTGAAAGCTTCAAAATATTACCCTGCTTATTCATTATGACTCACATGAAACTGGTGATGCTTTCAACTAGGGTCATAATTACTTTGTTCACAAGAAGAGACAGTATGAATGTTCCTTCTTATGGGAATTTTCGTGAAAAATATTTCTAAGAGCTCAGGAGTTGTGACGTGTCTGATGACGTTTTCAGAAACAGAGCAGCCATTGAATCCAGTTTTTCCCCCAGAGTACTGTAACTCAGTTTGCTGTGCTGTGAAATCTTTGTTACAACAATCTTTCTTGTCCGTGAAACCACTTGGATGTTAAGCCTTTCTCATACTTTCCCGACTTTATGACCTTAATCTTTACTTTACAAGTTCCATTCAAGGGCAGTCAAAACGACTATCGATGAAAACATTAAACCAGGTGAACAAGACCTCTGCAAAAATACTTATGCTGAGGTTTCTGTCCTCATTTAACTTCTCTGTCTTCTCAAAGCACTGCAGCTGAACAACTTTTGAACACAAATGAGGCAAATGTTGTTGTTGCTTTTATCACCATCACTTATGGCTCAGCACCTATAGATGTTTTTGCCTGGGGTGTTTGACAGGATGTTGTTTCATTTTTTTCCTAACGGAGATGGTCGAGGTCTAGTAGCTCTTCAGGCTTCTCTCACATTTGTGCCCACTACCTGTCATTAGGACCAGCCTGAGACCGAAACTAATGTTTTTGCCGCGGTGTAGAGACCTGAAATGTGCCGTATTCCTTTCTGCTGACAGATAAGGTGCAATGTGTTGTGAGGTCTCTGTTGTTGCTTTTGCCATCCATAATCATAATCATTGAGGTTGATTTGGACCACTAAAGTTAAGTACTAAAGAGAGCCAGGTATGATCAAGTCAGATTTTACAGATTTGCAGCTCAGCATCATGAATCGAGCCGAACAGTTGGGATGTCATAAAGAAAGTATCTGGTAAAATCTGAAGGTCTCACTGAGAGTCAGACTGTCAGCTGGTGTAACATCTGCTGCTGTGTGTGTGAATGTCACAGTTCTGGGTCAGTAGTTTGTCAGTCAGTTCATCCTGCAGATTCAGCCCCCCCTCAGGTGTGATGTTTAGAAGCTGCAGGTCTGAAATATAAAAACAGGAGCTTCAGAGTTTAACTTTGAACCAGGAGACAGAATCTGATTTTTCTTCATGCATTATGCATGAAACACGCAGCGCTCTGTCCCTATGCCTCCTGCTGATATTGACAGACTGCATACATACTGTTACAACACACACATATGCATCTGCAAACTCCTCGAGCTCCCCTGTGCAGGGCTTACAGGCACATAGAATACATACAGATTAACACTGGGCTGTGGTCAGGATGTAGCTACAGGACAACACAAAACAAACAGAACTGAGCCAACAGGCTTCTCAGTGCCTTGTCTTCTTTAAAAAATACTGTTTGACAGGTTCTTAAATACTGATTTCCAACACCTCCTCACATCTAAAGACAGTGTATCTTGTTTGTATCCCTGTCCTGTTATGCTTCCTGTCAGGGACCTGTCTGGTAAGGATGCACCTACTGGTTGTTGACGTCATTCATATTGTTGAACAACCTGATTTGCATGGGACAGGAATTGGGACTTGAGCAGGTTTGAATCTAGCAGGTTTGAATTTACTGTAAGACCACCTTAAACTGAAAGACAGAGATCATGGGGGCACACTCTGACTTTAGCAGAACTCAAACCTGACCAGCTCCTTTAGTAAAATAATTATCTATTGCACCAAGTGCCCTCTGCAGGCCTGTCGACTTCTGCTGTGATTACTGAAAATGCAGTGCGTTTTGGACTGCATCACTTGTGCATTTGCATGTTTCCCTTTTGGGTTAATTTATGTGGTTTCTAGAATTGAAGCCTGTTTTCCCCCTGAAAACCTTTTAGGCTGCTTTAACATTTTTATTCCTGACGGCAACAGTAACTTCTGTCCAAGGTTTTAAAGTTACAACAGTTTAGACACCGGCAGTATAAAACATAAGCATACTTTGATGCTATTTTTAGACCTTTTATATGATGAGAACACTAAGGTTGTATCGCAGTAAATCGTCCTCTCAAGGCTGAAACTGAATTGTAAAGTGGTTCTCCCTCTGACCAATCAGAGGGCTGCAGTGTTTAAAGGGAAGTGAGTAATTTTTAATCAAAATGTGCGGTGTAAATGATACTCATATGTTCGCTCTTAATGTTCACACTGCTCCAACATACACACACAGACTATGACCTGCAGCTGCCCAGTAACACCAGTTAACATGCTGGACACTCAGCAGCTTACTGGAGCTGCTGGAGGGCATTCAAGCTTTTTCCTCAAGGGCACGACAGCAGGTTAATGGGAGTGGAGGGGGAGGTTTAGAGGGAGAGAGGTGGATTGGAGGGCTGTTTCATCTCCACCATTCCCATTAGTCCAGGACACAAACTGGAGACCAAAACAGGAACAAGCGTCACCTTAAACCGTTTAACTCAACGGACATGGAGCTGGTTAATGAGAAAACAAAGGTGTGATTGTTAGGCTGAGGTCGGTCACATGACAACAGCACTTACAGACCTCTAACACAGCACACATTAGACCTGCCAGGAGTGTAATTAACATCATTAATACTGCCTGTTTCATTAAGAGTCTCTGTGGGCATGAACAACCGCATAGCTCCACACTTTCACACTTACACACATCCCCCCACACACACAAACTCAGAGTGACTCAAGGCCGTTTTGAGGCCTAATGTGGGCTTTAAAAAGTTCTGTTTTTCTGGGTCATGCCCAGAATTTAAGTTCTTTCTTTTGTCCTTTTTGTTTTTGCCATCAGAGAAGGATGAAAACTCCAATCTCCAAAATCTACCACTTCATGTTTTTGAAACTTCCTGCCCTACAAACACAGATTCAAGCAGATAGGTGGCTGCAGTCTTCCAGCTCTCTAAGAATCCTGGGTTTGATTGATAAATGTTTTTGGTCAACCACTGCCACAAACAGTGGGAAAAATGGTGGTTAGCAGACTCATTAACAAATAATGATTAGTCACTGATACTATATAAGCTGTGTCTACATTCAAGGGCTGAATCCTTCAGAAGAAACAAGTTATGTTGGATAAATCTCAGGTAGCCTCTAAATACCACTGACTGAGACTGGGCCTACAGAGGACTTTCTTACCCTACAGTCACAGTAACAGGCAACAGGTGGCTAGCTGGCCGATAAGCTAACATAGCAAAGACCCCTTTCAGTTTTTAACAATTTTATCAATAACTATGTGATCATGTTGAAAAGAAATAAATCAAAAGCATGTTTCTTGTGTATTTCTACCCTCTTAGCTGTAAACAGCTTGTCACCAGCAGGGTCTCGGTAGTCTATGTCACTGTGCTAAAGCAAGAGCGTAGCAGAATGCTGCACAACAGGTGACAGTGATAAAATACCCTCTCTTTAATTGTAGTTCTATATACTTGTTATTGCTAACAGTCAAACTGCTAATATTGGATTGCATCCAAATCCAAACCAGCCACTGTAAACTCACAAACAAGGTTAGCTAACATTGATTGTGATCCAAATTGGCTGCAGCGGAGCGGATTAGCTGCTGACTCAGTTGTTAGCATTTTGGTGTTTGTAACCCGTGGCCAGCAAAGTCCTGGAGTGTGTAATACAACTCACCTCTCCTGAATGACTCCATAGCAACCATTGCAAAGTAAGCTAATGTCAGCTAAGAAGGCAAACTGAGCACATGATGAAACTGGTTTATTCAGAGTTTTATTTGGTGAATCACAAAGTCAAACATAATGGATTGAAATTGCTTCATCCAGCCAAACAAGCCCCCCACCCCACCACCATTCACTGATAAGTGAAACCCTTGCTTTTAAAACAAGATGGATCACTGGGAGGCAAGCAGGTGTTTTAAAGAAAGAGAAAAATGTGGATAACACCATCCCTGGAATGTTTATTATAAGGAAAAATACGCAAGAGGATGAGCTAAAGCATTCTGCATTAGAGGAGACCTATTTACGGTGGTCGAGAACCGCCACTGCCGCAAATAAATAATGAAATGGTGCAGATAATTTTTTTAAAAAGCCACGACCGAAGTTAACGATGCAAAAAAAGTGGCAATACCAAATGACACATTGAAAAGCACACGAAGCAGCTCCCTTCCGTTGTGGCTTTTTTTATTTGCATCCTTTTATTTTTGCAGTAACTTTTTTTTTTTTTTTTTTTTTTTTTTTGCATCGCCATTTTTTTGTCAACTTCCATTGTAGCTTTTTTTAAAATCTGCCATGTCTCTTTTTTTATTTGCAGCAGTCTTTGGTTCCTTTCTTTTTTTTTTTTCTTTGCATCAGTAACTTCCGTTGTGGCCTCTTTTTTTTTTTTGCTTTCTTTTTTATTTGCAGCAGTGCATCCTTATATCCTTACCACTTACACACTGCAATTTCAACACAGTGCAACCCCCTTTGTACAAACATACTGCATCCCATAATTGCGTAATATTGGTGTCTGGGTGATTTCAAATTATGATGGAAGAGTAATATCAATATATATTTTTTAAAGTCACATGGCTGAGATTTGCTGGTTCCTAATAGAAATATGACCTCACTCACACTCCACTTCTAATCCCTGTCTGTTCACTCGGTGTGTGAGGATTCAGCTTGTGGAGGAACCTGCTCTGTAGTGTTCAGATGAAGCACCTTAACCTCTGTATCGTGTGTGTGTGTGTGTGTGTGTGTGTGTGTGTGTGTGTGTGTGTGTGTGTGTGTGTGTGTGTGTGTGTGTGTGTATCAGTGTCACTCTCAGTATTAGCTTTGATGTGGACCCAGCAGCACATGGTCATGCATATGTATTGAAACCATCACCACTGGATTCTCTCCATCTTTTTGTCCTCCTTTGTCCACCCCTACATGCCCCCTCCCTACCCTCCTCTTCCTCCTCCTCTTCCTCCTCCTCTTCCTCCTCTCCTTCCCTGAACTTGACTGTCATCATTAATCAGCGGCGAGCTTCGTCATTCCGGCTCATCCTGCCAGCGGAGGTGTTCCAGGATTGAAGGAGAGCCTCATCTCCCAACATCCTGCTTCCATTTCTCCTCCTCCTCCTCCTCCCCCTCATCTCCCATTCAGAGCCTTCATCGTCTGTGAAGGCTCTGCATGGAGGATGAGGGGGAGGAATCGAAGTGGGGGGCTAATAAAGAATGTGTTAGTGGGGGGAATACAGGGACTGGGAGATGGATAAGATGATGGAAGAGGGGATGAATGTCAGGTAATCAGGGGAAAGGAAGAAAGAGGGGACAGGGTGATTTGTAACTGAGCGGTGGAGGTGGAGGAGGGCATTTGAAGGTTAGCGTAGGGTTACAGTGACAATTGTGAGCAGCAGGGGGCAGCACAGGGACAGCAAACCCTCTCTGTGTGCAGCCTTGGAGCCCTCTTTGGATCCTGTTTGCTCTCACTGAGGCTTGTCTCTGTTTTAATGGCTCCATGCTCTCTGATGAACGACTTCAATTAAACCACCCTGGCTGGTTGGGTTGGGGTGGTGGTGGTGAGGGGATCGGTTCAGCTACAATGATCTAAGCAGTAGAAGAAGAGAAGCGGTAAAAACAGTGCTGTCTGTTCTGGAGGCTTTTAAAGAAGCTAGCTGAGTTGTGTTGGTAATAAAGCTCTTCATCTCTCTCTGGGGGATTTAAACGCTGATGCTAATGAGCTCTGATCAACATCATGTTTATCTCCACCTTAAATCTACTGGCTAATTATCCTCCAACAAACACGCCTCGATGTTTTATTTAAAACATCACTCTGATTTGTTTGATAGTGGGTTAAGTTTTAATGGTGTTGTCCTCATAGCTTGTTGGGATCTGAAATTGAACTCGACAAACTGACACTTTACCCATTAATCTCTAAATGACAGTTTCTAAGCCTGGAGTTCAACTTTTTGGCTCACACTCCTTTTTAATTTATTTGATTTTACACAGAAGTAACCACATTTGATAGAATAAAGCTGCAGGAGAAAGAAAAGGCATGAAGGCCACCTACCAGCTTGTTTACATCCCCTTGGTTTGATTGCATGTTTGCAAGGAAAAGCTTGACTTCATTGTTATGCAATCATCATCAATGATTGTTCATTCCCCACTCTGTGCACAGTTTAAAGGTTGCTTTAACAGTTTATGCTCCCAATACACTCTTGAAATAATTGGGTTAAAAAAAAAACAATTTGGGTAGTTTCCCAACCCAGCGCTGGTTACAACTACTCTGCTGAGTTTGGCAGTTTTTCTTTTTTTTTTAATATGTTTTTCTTTTCTTTTCAAAAGAAACAATACAGAACAAGAGGTTGTATCTTGCATCCACTCCAATCCAGGTCACAAAGTCATCCATTGACTGTCTGTATCAACCTGAAACATCAAGACAGGGGGCTCTATTTTCGTGGTTTTGGTGAGCGGCGCAGCTCAGCGTAAGTATCCCCCCACCCTAACTCAGCTCCTCTCAGCAGCGTAAGTCGTAGGGAGGGAGGAGAGAGGGCGTGGAGTGGATTTAACACAGCCGAGACCTGTATTGACCAATAACATCAGCTCCTCTCCTCGCCTTTTAATCCGCCACAGGTGATGCGTATTACAATTTTCGTGAAGTAGTCAAAGAGATCAAGAGATGGCTGAAGACAGCTATTCCACACGATGGCAACAGAAGGCAGCCCCTCAACAAGTGGCGCTGTAAGCGCTGCATTGGGTGTCCTGCACACTCTCTCATATAAGCACAGATGGATTTGGTGTGTGTAATGTTGGACCCGCTGGTAAGAAAAACACCCTTTTCCACAAATAAAGACACTCACATAAAGTTGCATATATTCAAACCTCATGTGACAAAGGTGAGTTGAGCGCACAGATCACAACATAAATTCCAATAATGGCATTAAAATCGGAACCACCTGAGCATAAAGGACTCATCGCGCTCCGTGGCCTGGCTCTTTCTTTCATAGATGTTGGCAAACGAAATACATTTGACTCACAAAACTGAATATTATATTTGTATGTCGGCTTAAAGTGAATAACTCATCTGATCACTGAAACAAACCATTCGGTTCAGCCGCTGCAGCAGGACGGGGAGAGGACACGGAGACATGTCCAGGTCGAGCTGTGCGAGAAATAAGAGGAAGAGGAAGAAAGAAAAGGAGGGAGGCGAATTACATATCTTGTTCACTTCATGCGTGTCTATTTACTAGATATTTAATTCAATTTGATGCGGTTTCAGCTGTGTTAATTCGGTCAAGTTAAGTCTCCAAACGCGTGCCAAACGCGCTCATCAGATCAGATATAGATCAGATTATATCTATATAGATCTAAATGTATGTGCTGACTCAGATTATTAGTTGTTGATGATTATTTATTGCACTGAAATGTGCCTGACACTGCGGAAACCTGCCATAAGGCATCGGTGACGTATGTCGATACGCCGCCGGTCTACCAAAATGACCAGGTTTGAATCGGCAAGCTTTCAGCGCACTTTACACACCGGCAGTGAGCATGAAAATATCACTGTGCCAGCTGATCCTGTCGACACCTCCCCCTGCCACGCCACCCCGCCCAGCTTGGTGGACCTCGGTGCACCTCAGTCCAAAAAAATACCAAACCGGCTGTACGCCTGGCTCCGCCAGACGAAAATACCATTGCGCGGGGTCCGCCACCCTCCGCCACATCACCGGCAGACATGAAAATAGAGCCCAGAGAGTACATTAAAGCAGTAATTCAACATTTCTGACCACACCACACTGCACATCAGCTAACGTGTTCGCTACTTACATTTGAGGCAACATACTTTGTGCTACTAACGTTGCCTAACCATTAGCTTGCTCACCTACCAATCGATTCCTGAAGGCAGAAGCTGGTATACAACAGTGCTTCACAAACTTACATCTTAACAACAAAATGAGGATTTGTATGATAGTATCAAGTCATCTATTTGGTAAAGCAATATGGGAATGTAACAAACCTTGCTTTGTACGTCACTTCGCTTCAGCAGTTGTGGCTTTTATCTGGTGAATGGGCGGTGCTTGGTTTCAAATGCCCAAATGTCTACCTAATGTGTTGGGTAGTCCACAATAAACCAACAAAACTGTATAGAAATTACAACCCAACAGCTAATAGCTCTGTTCCTAACATAAATAACCTTGCGAATTGGGTACTCAGAATACCCAACTAAGTGAAAATAACCCAAATAAATTGACCAACAGGCTCAACCTTGTGGTTGGGTTGAAAAACAACCCAGCATTTTTTTTGTGTATAATACAATACAAGGACTTTATGTGTCTCCAAAGGGAAATTCATTCATCAGGGATCCCATGTCATCTACTATTTATCGTGATTGCATCACTGGAGAAGACATGCAATAAGCATGAGTGCACCATGTTCCTTTAAGGTGTTTGACATGTTACATTGATCCACTGGTTTGCTGGTGCTGTCCAGTGTTTCTACATTGAGCTATATTTACAAGAGCCTCTAGTGTGGGCAGGTTTATTTTATCAAAGAGGAAAAAGCTCTCCAAAATATCCATATATTGTGGGTGTTTCACCATCCAGTGCTGTTTTAATGATTCCTTAGGAAAACCATTATACTGCAGAGTAATGATCTCCTTTTAGATTGTAAATGTGTATAAAAGATAAGAAGCCTGGAATAAAAAAGAAAAACTCACTGAACTAAAAGGGTATATATCTCTGCACATTTTTCATTAAAATTCAAGATAAATGACTAACCTTTACACCCCTGCAAATAAAAAGGCTTAAAGTAAGTAAAAATGCAATAAACGCAGCTGGGAGAGAGGGAAAATGTACAGCGATTAGAACACTTAAACATCGAAACTAGTTTAAATGTCCCTTTGTACAATATTATGTGTTTTTTATCGTGCAAAATTACCCTTTTGTTGTCGGTTTATTGATTCTTTCACACAGAATGACGTTGTTTACTCTGATAGTTTCTGAGATTCAGTCTTCTTACAGCAAATCTTTGCAATGCTGCCATGACCGCGACCCCCCACCCCCCCTAAAAAAAAGGGTCATGTGACTCATGCTGCCAATTAAAAAACAACACTTAAACACAAACACTCATATGTACAGACTCTTCAGAGTGTGGAGGAGCTTTTGTGAATTTTTCGCTGAGATCGACCCGTTCACCCAGCAGACCCATCGATGATGTCACTGCTGATGTCAGAGCATAAATATTACATCCAATATTATGCAATATAACCTGAAAACTTTATAAGTAGTAGGCCAAGTCTTCTCTGAGCATCATATATTTAGCAGGAGTTTTGGAGAGAGCCTTTTACTGTAATTTTATGAGTCAGAGTCCAGAGCAGTCCCTGATCTTCACATATTGATTATAGTGCTATGAAATCATCTGCAGAGATAAATATGGCCTGTGCATGCTGTAGACAGATGGATGAATGTTATTGTGTGGAGATGGAGCATCATGCAGCTGCATTATTAATGCTCGCTCTGTGGGAGTGTTGGCTGCTCTCACAGAGAAGTTGATTACATGTGTCGTCCACTAAGCACGTCTCGAATGAGGAAAAAGCTGCAGCCATGAACTGATATGAGCTCTTAGGTTTTATCTCATGGTACTGATACTTCCATGTCTCCCACTTGATCTTATTAACCTGTGAGAAATCAACCTTTATATGTTTCAAAGGGATATTTCACCATAAAATTAATGTAGGGTTAAACACACCGTAACACTGAGTTAGACACCCCCTCGAGAGAAGAATGTTGCTGACTACTTACTTCTCTAGTCATACCATTTTTAGTAACGACCACGGGATAGCAATACATAGCAGTCTCAGGAGCCAAGCACAAACACCAATCAAAAAGCCATTTTATAGCCATAAATAATGATCAGAACAGCACCTAACTTCATCAACAGTACATATAGAATCCCAGTCATAGCACTAGCCACCAAACATCTTTAGCTAAACACAACTCACCTACTTCCAGCAGCTGCTTGTTTGTAACGAGACCTCAGACCAGTCCATCATTGACTGAGGTGGGGTTACACAGCTCAAGGAAGAACATTTATGATCATTTCTTCATGGAAATGCGATCAGACTGAGATGCTAAGGCAGAAGAACTACCGCGTCTGCGAGGTCTCGCTACAAACAAGCGGCTGCTGGAAGAGAGTGGGTTAGTTGTGTTTAGTTTCTTTGCTAAAGAAATTAGGTGCTTAGTGTTACTTAGTTAGGTGCTTAGTGTTACTTAGTGTTACAGTGTGTTTGACCCTAACTTAATTTTACGTAATTTTTATATCCCTTTAAGTATGTGTGCTTTTTGGAGGGATCTGTTGCTCTTTGATTGTTAAATAAAGGTGTGGAGGCTTTGTTAAAAAAAAAATTTCTACTTCGGCTTCTCCAGTCTGAAATGTCTTTAGGGAAAATACATTTACATTCATAGGTGAGCCTGGAAAGTTCACTGCATGGATACTCACTGCAAAAACAAGCTGCAAAAACAGAGTGGCCTGCGCAGAGGAGGACAGGAGGTAGAGAGTAGGAGCACGTAAACAGAGCTGCAGCTGAATGGACAATAAAAGCTGAACCTGAGCTGGTGCACAACATTTCGGATGCATTAAGAAACAACAGGAGTGGATATCATCCCGCTACCTGCTCATCAGAGCTCACAGCTGCTGCTATTGTGAGCCTTATCACATTCATGATCTGACATTCACATGCACACAGGAGAACCTGGTTATTCCTATCCCTGTGTACATGATCATTACTTGTATCCTTGTTTCTGATCATTACATATTGTTCCTTAACGTTTATTTTGTGCAACACAAACTTGCATTTTTGAAATCTGAGAGAAGATGAGACCACTGCGGCTTATTTAGGGTTTGGCAATTTAAGACATGGCAGTGCATATATAGTATATCCACTTAATTTCAGTAATAGGAAAAGAGAGTGACAGCGTGTATTAAAAATGTCTCAGACTCTGACTGGTGTCACTCTGTCATTTGTACCACACACGACAGGGAGGGAAATGGGTGAAGATCCACAGCTGTGATAGGCAACAAAACCCAATTTCTTTGCTGCTCCAAAAGTACAACGATCTTATTGCAGTCACTGTGTTTATTTTACTGAAACCTCACTTGGCTGAGGAAATGCATTTAGAGGCAGCTGTCAGAAACTGGACATGACACAGAATCTTGTTTTCTTTCAGGGTTCTCCAGCTCCAAGTAGCAAAATCAGGTCTCTCAAAACTAGAGCAAGGGCTTATCTGGGTTTCTGGAGTTAGGATTTGACAGGGAACTAACATCCTCATCAAAATTTAGGTACTTAACACACACCAGTCACATTTGGCTTCACGTCAGAGTGATCAAGATAGTTCTAAGAACACAGAGACTTTGTTGAGATCAAATACTTGAACAAGACATGGCAAGAAGGTGCACAGACTAAGAAAAAGGAATCAAGCCGACCTGAATTGACTTTACAGCAAGACAGATGTCAGAGGTAGAAAAGAGTTTTGCAGGGTGGGTCTAATCTCAGGCAGTAAAGTTCAGACGAACTACTGACATTTCAGCAGCCATAGAAGACGATATGATGTATACCCTCAATATTTCACCCAGGCTGCTCCATAAAAGGTGATTTAAAGAGATGTCACCGTAATCTGTGAGGGACTGGAAGGATGGGAAAGCTCAGTGAGATCACATCTCTACTAACAGAAGCTCTGGATCACTAGGGGTTGAGGTCCGTTTGTTGTTTTCTGCATGAAGCATTTTCTCCGGTCTACATTGTTGTATCTGTTTTGGGCTTCTGCATGAGTTTGCCAATCAGGAGATGGTTTCTCCCTATGATTATAATTATTTAGTCTGTTTCAAATTGATTGCCATTGTTAGTTACTGTAGTATCATCGACAACAACCTTGTCAATGGGATTGGGGATGGAAATTAGCTGCTTGGCTGTAATCCCATGCATTTACATGTAAATGTTCATTAATGGATATTGTCCCATTTAAGAAAAAAAAAAAATCAGATTCAGACAAATTTATTAATCCCTGAAGGGCAATTTATTTCACAGTAACCCACCTTGGTATTAAACGATCAAGGAAAAGACAAATGCACATGGCCCAAACGTTCCCCTGTCAGCACCACAAATCAGTAACAAATAAATAAATAGATAATGAATACTTGTGCAATATGTTCAACAGTGAAATGACTAAAATGCAATAAGAAATAACGCCATAAAAGAAGTGAAATAAGAACTAAAACAATCCTGAGACCCCAATTTCAACACAGGCCACCAATCAGCTACTTCCCAGCATTTAGCAGCCTGATCGCTGAGGGGATAAACGAGTCAGAGTACCTATTTGTTTTCCTTGAGGGAGAATAGTAGCGCCGCCCAGAGGGCATAAGAGAAAAGTAGGAGAAGAGAATGTGTCCAGGCTAGTCCATAATTCCTCTGGCTTTCTAGACCACTTGTTTCTCCCAGAGAGAGCTCAGGTCTATCAGCTGTACTCCAGTAATTTTGAAGCAGACTTTAACGATCTGGTTCTGGTAAATCCTAAATAAGTCCAGTTTATTCTCCCTGAGAGTGATAGCCAGTTTTTCGTAATACTTATTTCCGGTGAAGCCAATAAAGACTTCTGGCCTGAGAAGGAATGGTGGAGATGGTGTGAAGAATTACTGTCAAAGAACAGATAGTTGGCTGCACCTGAATTCAGATATCTGTGCAGACATTAATAAAAGATAAATTGTATTTAAATGGCTGCTGATAGCTTCTGGAAGTGCAGCTACCTTGTAATAACAATCTGAGTCTGTTAGAGGTAAAATAAAGCATGTGTTGTGGACGCAGTTTGATGATGTGCAATTTCCCAGTCAAACTTTACTTATTTTGTGGCTGCCGGCTGCTCTGCTCCTCCTCAATACAGGTCCAATCTCAGAAATTGTTCTCCCCATCAGTCAAACACACAGGAAAATAGGGACCCAGGCTGAAAAATACCAAAGATCTCCTTTAACGAAGCAGGACAGACAACCCATGACATATGCTTTCCATTACTTTCTGTGCTGATCCTGATCACTTACCTCAGGTGCTTCATCCGCAACAACCAGTTGGTTGGGCAACATCTGAGGGGCTGAAGATAAGTGTGTGTATTTGAAGAGTTTAGTAACACTAAAGGTGAGATTAGACTGTCTGTAGAGGATCCCCTCTGCAGCCGCTCAGTGATTGGTTTACGGTTTGCCTGAGGAGGTGGAAAAAAAACCACAGAAGAAGAAGTGAGAATGAACTGTCTGTGTGTGGCTGTGCAGTGTCCTTAAGGCTCTGTGTTTGATCCTCCCTGTCCTCTCTGTTACAGAAACCTGCTCCTCACATACTCTCTCTCTCCCCCTCTCTCTCTGTCCTCCGGATGTGAGGAGTATGTCGGGTCACACTCTCTGACACCTGAAACTAGATTAGAGATGAGAGATTACTCTGCTATCTTTAGCCGTGTTTCATGTTCGGGGGGTTGGGGGGGGAGTCTTCTCTCTGTCTGATGATGGATGGAGGTCAGATCTCTCTCCGAGAAATAGGGAGGGAAAAGCAGGGATTCCTTGGAGCGGGTCACAAGGAGGAAGAAAAGTTAGAAAAAAAAGGAGAAAGTATAAACTGAAGGACAGAGCTGGTGCCTTGAGCTGCACACTTTTACCTCTCTCCTTTGGTCCTCTGACTCTTGTTCTCTCTCTGTAAAGTGTGGTTTATCCAGGTGCAAAACAGAGTCACTCATTTCTAATACAGCTGAATTTTTGTTTCTTTTGAATCCTGCAGACCTGAACAGTGCACTGCAGACGGAGGACCACTAATGTAAAAAAAAGAGATTTCTGCAAGCAAAGTAAAGCTTTTGAATAGATCTTTTTTTTACATTTTGTGACAGAGTAAATCGTGTGCAGTGGTTGAAAACCTGTTCCGACACTGGTTCTCTGCTGCCACTGCGCTGAAGCTGTCTCGGATCCTCTATGGGTCTCTAGCCTGATTCTACGCGACCCATAGACTGTATATAGAATGGACGCCGTCTGCCTCCTCACTGGGTGAAGCCACCCCGAGAACAGCACCCTCTGGTGATGGGCTGCAGGAAAGGTCATAAATCCCGCCAACGAAGTTGTCCACAGTATAAACAGTCTCAGATGTCACCTAAACTAAAATCAATCCATAAAACAAGCTGATTTAAAAGTTTTCCATCTGTATATATCAGTGGCGATTGCTCTAAGACTGCAAGGGAAGCTCGGCTTCCCTTAAAATGTCACCCCCCAAAAAAAAGAAAAAGTGGTGAAGTACGTACTACTGTGTGTACATTTCATTAACTAAATATGCGCTGGAAAGCCTTCATCTTTTGTTCAGACACTGTGATAAGAAGCTGATAATCACAGGTAACCGGCATAACTTCGTTCTCATTCATCCTCGCAGCGCTTCAGTGCTTTACACAGTCGGACGCTGGGCTTCTGCTGACTTCAATGTGGAAGCTCAAAGTAGGTTGTTCCAGCAGCGAAACTAGACGCTCATTGGATAAATGCTGGGCGTTGTCCCGCCCATCGGAAGCTCAGCTTCACTGGAGTTCTATGACGAGGGGGCGGTCCCAACTTTCTCCCGGACTCCGAGCTTCTGCATCCATGATTGGATGAGCTGTCTGAGGCGAAATCCTTTTTTGATTGACAGCTAAACAAGCGAATCAGCGATCTTGAAGAATAAAACATCTACCAGAGCATTTTCCAAGTTATTCATTCCGTTGTTCTTAACTGCTCCGGAGACTTTACCGATCCTCAGCGACTTTTGTCTTTGTTAAAAACGACTGCCGTTGTGTTTGGCGACTCTGTTCTGTTACATACTAATAAACAAACACAATTATGATGTAGGCCAGAAAAATGAGCTTCCCCTCCATGAGAGACCAGCAGCCGCCACTGGTATATATGTAACAAAGTGAAAAAATATCAAAATGTTCAGCTGCAGACGGATGACCTGCCAAACATCATTTTACCTTGGCACATCAGGCCCTTTGGATCTCCCTGCCCGGCCCTTCATGAGGTCCGTCAATCAAATCATCAACATGCTCTAAAAGTGTGTCTCTTTTATTTTGAAAACCTAGCCATTGTTTTATTTCCGTTTGGACACACATGCGTACATCCTGGATCTGCATTCATAAACAGAGACAAGTTTAAACATCGGCAAAATATTCATAGACGCCTTGGAGTTGTCAAGTCCACTTATTATAAAAGACTTTAAGCTTGTTTCTCTCAGAAGTCTCTGTAAAACTCGTGAGTCGTGGGTGCGCTTTTTTTGGGGGGTTTGTTTTTCACTAGTAGTTGCTTATTTGGGCTTACTTTTCTGTATGTGTGAACCCCCCCTATTTGAAGTTGAAGTTATTGTTGGTTCGGCCCTCCAACACAGTTAAGGTTTCTCATGTGGCCCCATGTAAAAATTAATTGCCCACCCCTGTTCTATGCCATATTATTCCTCTGAAGAGTCAACATAAGCATTTTGACATTTTAACACTGCAGTGAAGTTTACTTACAGTATATAGGAAGTATTCCACACTGATGTACAGCTCTCTGCAGATCACTAACCCTCACTGCACTCACAGTTTGAGGGGCTCTAAGTGCACAGTACAGGACCTCCAGAGGCCAATAGTAGTATAAGCAGTGATAAAATGTGAAGCTGTGAGTGAAAATAAAAACGCCTTCATGCATTATACAACATGATGAGGTCAGGGTTTTCCTCCGCGTGTGGTTGTGTTTGATTGTTTTACTGCTAAAGACCTGCAGTGGGGAAAATGTGTCTGTGCACACACAGCCACCTGCTGCTGCATTAGGGAGTGTTTCACCATAAATCACAGCCTCACGTGTCCTCCTCTTCCCCGTCTCCTCTCTTAATGTCGTTTTTTGTGCTTCACAGGAAACGTCTTCGTGGTGAGCCTGGCTTTTGCTGACCTGGTGGTGGCGTTCTATCCCTACCCTCTGGTGTTGTACGCTATCTTCCATGATGGCTGGTCTCTGGGTGACACACAGTGTAAGGTAAGCCAGAACTCTGTATCTATTTTTTGTTTTATCATCACTAAGTGTGGTTGTTTTCTTTAGACCAAAGTTATAAAATCCTGAAGAGAGAAACCTCAATAAGAAATTGATGTGTGAAAACGGGGTTCACAGGTGGTAAAAAGCACTTCCACAAGATTAAAACTGTCTTCTCTTTTGGTCTAAACTTGGCTTTGCACTGATGTGGGAAATATCACTGCATATTCATCGAGCTTTACCTGCCTTTTGCTTCTTGTTCTCAGGGTTCCTCCCTCTCACAGTTTAACATTTGGAAGCCAAAAAGACACAGTGGTGCTGATTGACTTCCTGATGACTGCTCATTGATTTGTAAAAGGCCTTGGGGTGCATGAAACTCTGCCCTTCTTATCCTTATTTGCCTGCATGTAAGCTACTTTCAAACTGCAGATAATGAAACTAATGAAGCCAAATGCTATTCAATTTGGAAGGTGTTAAATACAGCGGCATCACACTTGAAGCAACTTGAAAAACACTTTTACGGGTGATATTTCCCACCGGTTTATATCCTTTTACTGCATCAACTATTGGTTGAACTGGCTTCTGATTGGCTCCAGGGTATCAATTATTGCTTCAAAATAAACTTGTCATGCATGAACACAGTCAAAGCCTCTCTTTATGAGTTACCCATCGACAAGCTGCCATCTGATTCTAGCGGTGAGGGAACTGAGCACCTCTGTAAACTAAGATGAAAATCTGTTAACAGGAAAGCAGCTGAAAAGAAAGAAACTGGATTTATATTGTGATAGTTAACACAGAAGGCATGATTTGCAGGATTGTATGTGTTAAATCTGTTATGAGCCAAAAAGTTAAACGAGCCTCAATAACAATAAAAACCTCATATGCTAATAACAGAGCAAAGAGCTTCAGTGGACTTTATACCAAGACAACAATCCCCCCTCTGAATGACCTGGATATAATGTATCAGAAAATTAAGTTTGTTTTATTACTTTCACATTTCAATTTTCATAATAGTCTGAGTTTATCTACAGATACAGGCTGTACCATCCTAGCATGTATGGCAGAGTTTATTAATTCATGGTTTACAGTCAACATGGTCAAAATAATACAAGGTCTATGTTAATGGCTGACAGTATTCATAGCCTTTAATAAACATGACCCTGTTGACATTGTCTACAATAAATCTGGCCCCCAGTAAACATGGTCCACAATGAGTTTGACCCACAGTCAACATGGCTAACCATAAACATAGCCCGTAGAAAACACTGCTGACAGTGCACATGGCCTACAATAAATTTGACCCACAGTAAACATGGCTCACAGTTAGCAAGGCTCTCTATAAAGATTACTGACAGTAAACATGGCCTACAGTAAACATTACACTGTTCATATTATCTCATGTTAATGTGGGCTACAGTTAACATTGCCCGTTATTAACATTACTCAAAGTTGGTCGTAGACTCTCTGTCACTTCTTGACTCTCAATTGAACAACAGCACCGTGAAGCAGACATGGAGAGTTTATTTACCCACTGAGCAATAGACGGTTATAAACGTCTAGTTTTTTGTAAACCTTATTATAACCGTCTAAATTCTGTATATTTTTAAACAGAATTTAGATGTTGCATTTTAACCCATTATTCGATAGCTATTTATTTCAAAAAGCAACTGTGAGTTGAATGACTGATCTGCAAGTACTTAACCAAAATAATTATGATAGCCGTTGAACAATATACAGTGTAGTATAGATATAGCCACGATTTAGACCTGGTCTAAATTTAGACATCTAAAAAATATTCATTTTTGGACCTGTGGTAGCCTGTTTTTAGACCGGTCGCCTTGGCTACATTTAGACGTCTATTAGACTTCCTTTAGACCAAAAACTGCTCAGTGGGTAGGCTTGGGGTGCAAGGCTTTTGAAAGTTGAACCGCATTTGTTTGTGTGGAAAATAAGTGGGTTTAGCTAAAAAAAGATAGTCATTGGACACATACCCAAATTCCTTTCAAGGGAAGTGTCCGTACTGTTCCCCTAATGTCCCATAATTTCTGATAATGGACAGCTTTTTGGGCCTTTTCCTTTACATAATAAGGACATTAAACCAATTATCTACTTACTGTGCTTTAATTGATTAAGCACTGAGCTGTCTGCTCGTCTTGTTTCTCTTTGTCTTCTCCAGGTGAGCGGCTTTCTCATGGGCCTCAGCGTCATAGGTTCCATCTTCAACATCACGGGCATCGCCATCAACCGTTACTGCTACATCTGCCACAGCTTCAGCTACGATAAGTTGTACAGCTACAGGAACACGTTACTGCTGGTGGCGCTTATCTGGCTGCTCACCATCGTCGCCATCGTGCCAAACTTCTTCGTAGGCTCACTGCAATACGACCCACGGATCTACTCCTGCACGTTCGCCCAGACTGTCAGCACCTCCTATACCATCACCGTGGTCATCATCCACTTCTTTGTGCCCATCGCTGTGGTGACCTTCTGCTACCTGCGGATCTGGATCCTGGTCATCCAGGTAAGGCGTCGAGTGAAGTCAGAGGTCAGCCCTCGTATTAAGCCAAGCGACCTGAGGAACTTCATCACCATGTTCGTGGTGTTTGTGCTGTTTGCAATCTGCTGGGCGCCATTAAACTTTATCGGCCTCGCAGTGGCGATCAACCCAGACATTGTGGCCCCCCGCATCCCCGAGTGGCTGTTTGTGGTCAGCTACTTCATGGCATACTTCAACAGTTGCCTTAACGCCATCATCTACGGCCTGCTCAACCAGAACTTCCGTAGGGAGTACAAGCGGATCGTCATGTCCGTGTGGATGCCTCACCTGTTCTTCCAGGAGACATCAAGAGGAGGCACCGAGGCCATGAAGAGCAAACCCTCCCCGGGATTGAATAACAATGAGCAGATGAAGGGAGAGTCTTTGTGACGCTGTTTTTATCCCCTCCACCATCCCTGTACCTTCTTCTTCCTACGTCGATGTGAGCAGAGAAAACGAGCTCCGAGGTGCCAAAGTCTCACACTGTCAACCAACAAAGAGGAAGCAAGAAGAACAGCTTTATTTATAGAGTGCCATTCATTAAACTGAAGGCTCCTCAGTCCTCGATTATAATCTGAAGACTGATTGTTTTTAAAACAAGCTGAGATTCAAGTTTCTCTGTTTCTAAGCCTCAAAAACTCCTCAGCGTGGTTTGATAAGTTCTTGCAGAGTAAGTTTCATGCTGACAGAGAGGAGAGAAAATGCGAACTGAACCAAAATTAGCAATGGTCAGCTGCAGGATAAAAAGTCTGATTACAAAATAAAAGCATCTACAGAGCTGAAACATCTAAAGATGTTGGTATTATATTTCAGTTCACAGCTGCACTTTTACATGCTGATGTTAAATATAAAATGACACTTCCTGCACTGTTACCCCAAAAACTGTGAAAATGAAATGACCAGATTGTTATTAAATGTACTGAGCACATTCATAGGATCCAGGAGACCCAATACAGTAAACCACTTCAAAAGTGTGATTCTGCAGCTCACAGTTTACATTCAGTGCCAACCATGAGGGAATAAACATGAACCAATGTTAGCTTTATGCAGGGGGAATCACCATGTGCAGGCCGATGAACACAAGTCAATATTTTGATGTATTTACAGTTACGAAAAACATAAAGCAGTTTCTGTGAATTTACAGGAAAGTTCTCATTGAATTTAATCTGAGTAGATGCAGAATCAGCACATATGAATGCCCCACTTTAACAGTATCACACACCCTCTTACCTGTCTTATGTCACAACTTTAGCTGCTCTACTGTAAAAACTCGATGAAAAGCTAAATGGTCTGCGTTGTCTTACATTAACCAAAGAGCTCCAGGAACTAGAGAAAAACATTTCAACTAAAGCTGTTTGTGTCTTTTTAGCTAAAAAGCTGAAATTTCAAACAAGCTCTTTATTCGTTTATAGTTTGGGATAAATAGGGTAATGTTACTAGAACCTAGTTCTGCAATATGTTAACGTGTTTGGGCAACATTAAAGCCCCTGTGAGGAATTTTGTTTTGTGTCAGTTTTGGTGCCCCATGTGGACAAAGCAGTCTTTGCTTGAATAGTGATTTAATCCGGTGCTGATATTTGACATAATGGCACTTTCCCTTTCTTGATTTTGCGATGAAGTTCTAGGAATAGGGACGTCCTGATCCAGTTTTACGTAAAAGCATTTAAAACGCTTATAAAAGCAGCTGGATGCTGCTGTGTTTGCCAAGTTTGAAGCACCAAAGCTTTACATCTTTTTCAGTGCAGATAAAAAGAAAGTCCCAAAGGTTTATATAAGACTTAACTTTGCCATCATTAGGAGGCAGCAGTTAACCTTCACCCCTCCTCCAAACACACCAAACAACAGTAAAAGTCCATGTGAGACCCTTCTATGTAATTGTCCTCATTTATGTGTGCTCATATGGTTTCCAATCTCTTTGAGGGCCTTTTCAAAGAGAGGGGGGCTAAAACACAAGGCCAAGAGGAGTAATTTATACATCCGTAGGAAAATATGAAAGACAAAGGCAGAAACACTCAACAGGATAGTGTTTATTCAAAAGAAAAATCGGCCCCCCGGTAGACAAATATTTGAAGAAACTAAAATTGTGAAGACAGCAGCGAGGTCACTTGAAATAAATAAAATTTACAAGCATATACCGTACACTAGATTGAGTTTAATAACTTTAATGTTCCAAAATTTTACGACTGTGGCTGTATTCATGGGGAAATTACAACTGTTGGATCAAGACTCACCACTAACAGCAACTTAATTTTTAATGACTCCACTGGGACAACCGCACTCTGAACAATTAGCTATAACTTTCTCCTTCTTTTCACTTATAGAAAACAAACTCTCTGAGCCCTTCAACTGCATAACCCTGATTCCAAAATGTTGATAAGAACAAGTTTGGGAGGTTTGCAAATCATTTGAACGCTATATTTGATTGAAAACAGTCAAAAAACAACATTAATAAACTGTATATAAGATAACTAAAAAATGTCATCACATAAAGGAAATTATGAGTTCATTTTAAGTTTAAATCTGGCGACCTGTTCTAAGCATTTTACCATCCGTCGCCGATTTAGGGTGTCAGCTCTTTAACAGTTTGCCACATCGTTTCATGATGTGCCAAATTTTTTTAGAGGGGGAGGATTTGGGACTGCAGGCAGGTCACTTTGGCACCTGCACTCTTCCGCTGAGCCATGCTGTTGCAATATGTGCAGAACGTGGTCTGGCATCTTTTAGCAGAATTATCAAAAGTCTTTCAAAAAGAAAAAAAGGGCATCATCTCAATGATAGCAGATGTTGCTCGGAAATCTGTATGCATTGTTCAGCATTAATAATGCGCTCCCATACGGTGCCCTCCCTCTTATACATCCATCCCCATACCATCAAAAATGCAATTGTGCGCTGACACTACATCCATGATTCCAACGGTTTGGATTCATCAGACCACAGGACAGTTTTCCACTTTGCCCAGAGGAGGCACTGTCGTATCTGTTACTTATTAATTTATGTTTTCTTCTTGTATGAAGAGTTTTAATCTGAGTTTTAAACTGTGTTTACATACAACCGTTTCCAGACGTGATTTCAGGCCCAAGCAGTGATCTGCAGAGTCATGTCTGTTTTTGATGCCGAGCCACTCGCAGGCAGATTAGACCTGTCAAGTATTTGTTTTGAGATTAACCCCTTTTATTATCTGAATCTTTTAATGCTATCAATGATGTAGGTGATGAAATCGCCCAAATCAGTGCAGTTACCCAATGCAGTCTTCTGAGAGACTCAGACTCTCAGAAATTCTGTTTTTGTACTGAGACATGTTACCAACTTGTTGCAAATTAGGATTAACAGTTTGGAAATGTTCTTCCAAGTTTTTTCCCTCTTTGTTTATTTTTCTTAATCAGTATTAGACCCTAAGACTTTTTCCTGTTCAGTATCTCACATGCTGTGTCTGTACTGTTCTAGATAATATACACTGTTCAAATTATCTGCTAACCTCCAAATTCTGTTTCCATCAAGATTTTACACAAGGTATGAGCTTTTCAGAACTGGGGTTACTCTAAAAGCTGTTCTGTGTGCTGTTTGCTCACCTCAGGGTGCCTGTCTCCTTACCTGTTTGGGATATATACTGTGTGTATATACAGTGGAGGCACTAAGAGTTTATAACTGTGGTATCTGATATGATGAAGCCTATGATGTGTGTCTGAAAATCCTCCTGGATTTCTGTTTTAGTAATGAACCACTGTGCACCAAATGTTTTTAAAGCTACACTGTTTGATGGTTTAACTCTCTTTTTTAATGATGATTGTGATTAATGCACTGCAGCATGATGAACCTTCACTTTGTTCTCGGTCGATGCCTCAAATATCTAATGGATGTTTCCATTAGTGCCTGATTTACGTTCATTTAAAGGAGGTTTTACAAAAAAAGAAAGAAAGCAGGCTTACAGAAGGCTGTTGTTGGTTTAAAGTTTATAAAACAGCATTATTTGTATAATGTCACTTATCAGCTGAGGGCGTAGCATCAAGGTGTGTTCACTTTTTGCAGGAGGTCAATTTTATATCAGAGCTTCTATCTGAATGCACCTTTAAGTACCGGTCATCTAAAACTCAGTTTCTCTGTTAAACTGTTTAAGCTTTTTAGTAATTACTCCTAACATAAATCATCCAACACTAACGGTATCTAAAAGCACAATTCTGTCTGCAGCCGGGTGACAGTGTATTATGCAGTTTACAGGTAAAATCTTAGTAAAATTTGAATCTTAGTAATGATGAATCACTTATCTCTGTCTATGCATCTCATTCTCCACCTGATCCCAAGCAGAGAACATGACAGCTAAAAGCTTCCTGAACACCTGTGAATAAAAATCCTACTGTTTTCAATCTAGTTTATCTTAGTAAAACCAGCTGCTGCAGCTCGCTCTGACACGCTGAGTTCACGCTGGTGAAGAATGTGCATGAGATTAATGATGATTATCATGTTTGAAATGTCTTTAATACCAATTCTTTTATTTTATGAAGATTACTGGAGGAGATTAGAGGTGATTGTGAAGAACTGCTGCTGAGCGAGAAGATGATGTAAAAATGATGATGATAAATGAGCAGGAACTGAATATAAAATATGTCTGCTGTGAATGACTAAATGAAAAAAAGATGTTGTGTTAAAGGAGCACTAAGTGATTTACCTTTAAGATTTTCCTTCATTTTCTTTTTTCCAAAGCAACATTAAGTCTCTTTACAACCAAACATAACCTAAAAGAAGATGGTATGCACAGCAACCTAACCCTAACACTAACCCTGTTACTTCAAGATTATTTTAAATACAGATTGAAGCTCAGGTGGAGAGCTCATGGCTGGTTATGAAACTGACTGAAACTCATCATGAGGCTTCTTTTTGAACTGTAGAAACTAAAGAAATACCATCAGAAAAGAAAACAATGATTTCTACTGTTTAAGATTATTTCATTTACTCATCACCTCTGCTGCAGGGCAAGTGTCCAATGAGGAGATTAACAGGATGTTACAGAGCTGCACATATTTCTATGGACCACGAGTTCCCATGACTTGCATGTGCAACATTATGAAAAAGAAAAAGAAAGAAAATCACTTTTCATCTGAACAGCTTCTTCCAATTTACTCCAGAATCAGAGACTTCCACACAGAAACTTTAAAGCTCTAAGAGGAACTTTTGGAGGCCAATTTTGGAGCCCTTTGTGTTTTTTCCCATACAAGTTTGAGTGGTGACTTTTGACTGAATATCTCATTCAATTGGTTTTTGATAGTTAAATATAACATTTATCATGAATAATATACTTGCAATTTGTAAAAAAGGTCTGTTTCTTCAAATGCTCACTTTACAAGTACCCCCTCTGCACCTGTGTCAGGCTTTAAAAATACTACCTAAAAGTTTTT